TCCCATTCTCCAAAGTGGCAGTGGTACCATATCAGCACCACCGAGTGCACCAGCACCATCGGTTCCTTGTGCACCGGCTCGTGCAACGAGGAAAAGGGGTCCACGGACACGGCCCCTGGAACGGGCCCACGTCATGCGGCTACGGCGTATGATTAAAGGGACTGGGGAACAACTTCAGGCACTCACAGCTTCAACTGCGGAGCCGACTTGCTATTCCCAAGCAGTTGGGCATCCACAGTGGCGAGACGCTATGGACCAAGAGTTCAATGCGTTACATCATAATGAGACGTGGCAGCTGGTTCCTGCTACACCGAGCATGAACGTTGTGGGGTGCAAATGGGTGTATCGCACTAAGCGCAAAGTCGATGGTTCGGTTGAGCGCTACAAGGCAAGGCTGGTGGCCAAGGGTTTCAACCAGGTTGCAGGCAAGGACTTCTTCGAGACATTTAGTCCCGTGGTCAAACCAACCACAGTTCGGATATTAGTGTCATTTGCCATATCACGCGGGTGGACACTCCGTCAACTGGATGTCCACAACGCCTTCTTGAATGGACACTTGTCTGAGACTGTCTACATGCGCCAGCCACCGGGGTATGAGGACCCTGATCATGTCTGTCACTTACGACGTTCCTTATACGGGCTTAAACAGGGCCCCGCGGGCCTGGTTTCATCGTCTACACAATTTCTTACTTGTAACAGGGTTTATTGCCTCCAAAACAGATGTGTCTCTGTTTCACTACTCAGCTGCAGATTCTCGTGTTTTCCTGCTTGTGTATGTAGACGATATCATCATGCTCGGAAATGATGCCACCTTAGTTGAGTCTCTACTACAGCGGCTAGCTGCGGCGTTTAAAATCAGGGATCTCGGGGCACCGACTTTCTTCCTTGGCATAGAAACCATCACAGTTCCAGATGGTATGATTCTCACACAGTGACGGTACATACGAGACATTCTGCAACGAGCGGGCATGACAGACTGCAAGCCGCTAGCCACACCAGCGTCTATTACTCAGCCAGTCAGCCAGTCCGATGAGCTTTTTGATAATCCGACACAGTTCAGACGGCTAGCGGGGGCACTTCAGTATCTTTCCATCACTCGACCGGATATATCCTATGCGGTCAATCGACTGTGCCAGTTTATGCACAGTCCCACACAGGAGCATTGGGGTTTGCTTAAGCGAGTTCTTCGCTATATAAAGGGGACTTTAGACTACGGGCTACGCATCTCACCATCCAGGACCTCGGAAATACATGCATACTCGGATTCGGACTGGGCCGGGTGTCCTGTGGATCGTAAGTCCACTAGTGGTTATGCTGTCTTCATTGGTACCAACCTTGTCTCATGGGTCTCTAGGAAGCAGCGTACAGTGGCTCGTTCGTCAACGAAGGCCGAATATAAGGGCTTAGCAGATGTCTGTGCAGAGGTTACATGGGTCCTATCTTTACTCCGTGAGTTGGGTCTTAACTCCACCACTCCTCCGACTCTTTGGTGCGACAATCTTGGAGCAACATACTTATGCGCCAATCCAGTCTTTCATGCGCGCACTAAGCATGTCGAGGTGGACTATCACTTCGTCCGGGACAAAGTTTCGTCTGGCGAGTTGTCAACTTCGTCTCCACCAAGGACCAGCTTGCTGATATATTTACTAAACCACTACCGGCTGCACGCTTTGGTGTTCTTCGCTCCAAACTCAATGTGGTGCATCACCCACCTTGCGCTTGAGGGGGAGTGTTAGACTATAGTTTATTATTATTATTATTATTATTAATGTTATGTTATGATGTAGTCTAGATTAGTCCTAGTCTAGTGGCTATTAGTTAGTTCTCTCTCCAGAGAGTATTAATTGTAATCTGTTTCAGTTATTGAATTGATTATCTCTTTCCACATTCATCTATGTGTCTATATGAGATTAACTATTTACATAAATTAGATATGAGAATAAGTAAAATATAAAACATTGTGTATGTATATCGTGTTATACGTTTCTGTGCATTATGTTACGAAATTCTGTACATTAAACATAATAATTCTGTACATGAAATTGATTAGTTGAAATTGATTTTCATATACACATTAACAATAATTACTGAGGAAACCATGCCCGATTATATCATTTTATAGGCTTTGGGCAGAGCAAAGAAAAAAAAAATCTAAATTTAACATATATTTTCGTACTTAAAATTAAATTACATAAGGAAAAAAAAAATACTAATATCAAATAACTTGAAATAAGATTTACAAGTTTTTAAAATGTATACATACACACTTCAAAAAGAAAAAAAAGTATACATAAACAATATTAATCATGAAAAAAAAAAAACAAATTCTAGGTGCTATTCTAAAGACAAAATAATCCACCGCATAGTGCCTTCATAAATAATAACTGATAAAAGTCAAATAGACCATTCAACTATATATCAAAATACAATCAGACACTCGAACTAAAAAAAAACCTCCAATTATACCCTCAAACTTGTTAAATAGGTTATTAATTGCATAAATTTAACAAGTTTAAGGGTTAATTGCACAAATTTAACATGTGATAAGTTGGAACTTGAATTGCTGGTTCGTTGGTCTTCTTGTACTAGAAGGAAATTATATTTGAAGACTATATGAATCCAAGATCAAGACCTACGATTGGTACAATAAGCAAAAAGGAGTAATCGCTCAACAAGCTACTCAGATGAAGCAAAGGAGAGAAGAAGACATGAGAAAAGTCAAAGAGCTAAGGAGAGTCTTGACAACAGGAAAATCGACTGTAATGTGATAAAATAATCGTGCATTTTCAAAAGTAGGACGATCTGAAAAGTTGAACAATTTTAAGAAAAAGACGTATGGGACTTGCGTTTGATGTCAAGAACGCATGTCCCAAATGTCTTTGTGAATTTTTTTTTAAAAAAAATTGTTTGAGGTATTTTATATGTCAGACACACAATTCGTACTTACGTTTGACGTATTTCTCTTACCATTAATACGCATTTTTGAGATGTTTGGTAGTGTATCACACATAGGACCGCAAGTCGCACTTGTGGTCTGGCGGTGGGATGCGACTTGGGTGAAGACCACAAGTCCCACTTGTTGTCTGGCGGCGGGGTGTCAGCGGCCATGTGGGTTGTAGGGTCGCCATTCAATTCAACCAAGGTTCATTTCAATTGCAGCGGCTGAGTTTGATGAAGATGGAAACCAAATTAACCCTCACATACATCCCAAACTACATGTCCTCTGCACCCTGGTATCTCAAATGCCCAGAAACCTTCTTTAAAGCATCAAAGAAAATGGAAGCCACATCCCACCGCCACACCCCAATTTTTTTAAAAATAATAATTTCACAAAGACATTTGGGACATGCGACCTCAAACGCATGTCTCAAACATCTTTTTCTTAAAATTGTCTAACTTTTCAGATGGTTCTATTTTTGGAAATGCATAATTGCTTTGTCACATTATAGTCAATTTTCCTAAACAATTCTACCAGAGGTCCTTTGTTTTTTATGTCAATTCTAAATTTTGTCATAGACTATTATTTTTGTCATTTAATATCTAAATTATTATTTTTTGGACACTTTTAGTTCTTCTCATGACTTTTTCTATTTTTAGTAAGGGTAACTTTGTCTTTTCATTTTTTATTTCAACCGGTTTAATTAGTTTAGGAATTTAGGTAACCTCTTATTTTTAGTAAGCATATTTTAAAATCGGGTTTTAGTAAAATCATAAACTAGTTAAACCGGTTGAAACCGGAAAAATAACAAAAGAAAAATATGAATGGACAAAAATGCTCTTACTAAAAGTAGGAAAAGTAATGAGAAAGATTGAAAGTGTCCAAAAAAATACTCCAATATGGGATGTTAAATGAAAAAAATAATAGTCTAAGACTAAATTTGGAATTGTCACCAAAGACAAAGGACATTTGGAAGAATTAACTTTTCTTAAAAAAAAGTATACATACACAATTAATCATGAAAAACAATTCTAGGTGCTATTCTAAAGGCAAAATAATCAATAACTACATAGTCGACGATAAATAAATAATTATAGTTTATAAAAGCGAAAAAACAATATTTTTTGAAACAAAGAATAAACAATTTGTCTCAGGTTGCCCATGCTTTGGCAACCGCAGTTATTGTGAGTCTATGTACTGGGAGGGTTCTCCCACGTCTTTTATTTGGGCGATGCTTTAATATGAAGTTTTGGAGTTTTAGATTTAAAAAAAAAAAGAATAAACAATTTAAAATCAAATATATTTACAAATAATATCATTGATTCATTTTTATCATAGTAAATTAATTATTAATAAAAAATTTAAAATAAAACTTACAAATATAGGCAAAACTATTGTACCCTTATTAACTTTTAAAATAACAAGCGTAAATACCAAAAATGATCCCTTAACTATAGCTAATTCACAAATTAGTCTCATCGACTATTGATTTTAACAAATTAAGTCCTTAACTTTTCAATTTTGATCCAATTTCGTGTTGAAATGACCGTCTACTTACCGTGATCAATAGTCAAGAATCAATTTGTGAATTTATCTATGGAAGAACCATTTTGGATATTTACGCAAACAACAATCATGTGACTTACCAATTAAGTTACTTTGTCTTTAAATAAAAATTTTGTGTGTGTATATGGGGGCTCCTAGCATGGGCCCTGAGTAAGGGTCCAACTAGCCCTTGCCCAAGGTGGCTCGGGAGGAAACTAAAATATAACTAATTTGTTTTAACAAAATAATGTATTTTAAATTGACTATGAAGCACATAACAATTTTTTTTTTTTTTTTTTTTGAATACTACTAACTTTGTTATAATACAATATTGGTTTATAACTACTTTCTCAAACTTATTGATATACAAAGAGTCAATACCGGTTACTTGATGCTAGACCACAAGATAAGTACATAACAAACTATTCTAATACAATAACACAAGTCCATACTTAATTAGAATATATATATATATATATATATATATATATATATATAATTTGTCTCAATTCTGAACTTAGCTTCTTCAATTCATGTGACATATATCTCGTTACAGGAGTCTATATCCATAGAACGACTTGAAGTCATCTTGGGCTTTCTCTTATATGCTCTGCACACCCACTTTACCATCTTGATTGTCATCTGAAGTGTGTGCCCTAACACAAGAATCACAGCATGCCCTGCTACCCAGCACGCCCCAATTATGGGCAAGTAAAACCCTATGTCGTTCATGTTATTCGTCTTCGGAGTAATCATGTTTATGCAGAAGAAATAACTTAACCCCATCCCAGTGATGGCCACCCACATTATGATCATCATAATGTACATAAACAACTTTCGGCTTAGCGGCAAACCGCTTATCAACAGCAGTATGATACTGAGAGATGCAAGAAAGCTGGTGGTGTTGGCCACCAGAAACATAATATAAACCGACGGCTTGTAATAAGACATCACGGATTTCCCAATTGTACCATTTCTACCGTTGTTGTTTATACTAGACGGCGACGGTGCAGGGGCGAAAAAGGAGGATTCATCTGAGTTTCCTGTAAAAGAAAAGAAATCACTTATGTCATTTTGGATATCTGAGTCTCCTATGAATATGTCGTTGGCTTGCAATAAACCGCCGGGAGGGCTGACAACTGCCTGGAACGCCATTGTTGCCAGCAAAGAAGCTGCCACCATTAATGCGTCTCGCATTTTTTGAACCCAGTGCCCTTTTTTTGCATTTGGCGGCTTGGTATTTGGCTTTTTTCTTTGGTTTTTCTTCTTGTTTCTGGAGGGTTGGCTCTGGGGGGTTTGTATTTGTTTAGGTCCCTTGTGTTTCACATCATTATTTGTAGTTTGAAGAAGGAGGATGTCCATAGGTGTTAACCCAATCAAGTCTTGATGAGCATCCACTTCTATTGTAGTATAGTTGAGCAAATACTTCACAGTCTGCATGCATGCAACGGAACCCATGCTCTCTTGGTAAGTTACGTATCGTAGTAACAAATATTATATTATATTCATTATCATCAATGTTACGTTAAATAATGCAAGTTCCTAGCTTAGCTTATATAATCTGAAAATAAATTTCCACTGATGGATATATTGGACCCGGAACGAACCGACCCAGAGAGACGGACCCGAGGCGCCTCGGCCCAACCCCTTGGGCCGTGGCCGGGTCGGCCCAAAGCAACTCGGCCATGGGCCGTGCCCGGCCACGGACGAGCTCGGTACACCCGAGCTCGTCACCATGGACCCGGCTACTGCTGAGCCAAGCCGGTCCGTGGTGGACTCGGCTAGCCCGAGCTCGGCACATGCCCGGCTCGGCCATGCCGAGTCGCCCCCGGTCCCAGAGGGGACGCGGTCAAAGCGGGCCGATCTAACCACCCCCGGTTCTAGGGGTGCTGTTGGGGGTTGAGCTGGTATAAAAAGCTCCCTCCTTGTCCTAACAAAGGACCCTGATCATTATCTTACACAACACAACATATTCCTGAATTACTATCTTCTAGCATTATTGTCCTAATCAAGTCTTGTAATAGCTTATTAGCGACAATTAATACAATATACGGTCCCTGCGGCCTTACGATATCTCTGCGTTACATTATTTATTTCGTACGTATTCTTATCCGGGTTTAATAATTCGGGCTACCCCGGGTGAATTAAATCCATCATTGGTGCTCTTGTTGAGAGCTGCTGTACCAGCTCAAGCGTGTTCTATATTCAGTGGTCCACCGCGACCAGCTACCATGATAAGGTCGAGATCCAACTCTCCACCACACCAACGGTTCCCGTAGCACCCAGCTCGCCGCAACCGAGAACGGCCCCAACTGGGCCCCCAACCTCCAACCGGCCGCCTCCACTAGGTCGGATACTTGAGAGATCACCTCACCAACCATCACAGCGGTGGGGTGCCATCTTCCATCGTCCCTCCTCCAAATCTCGCCCCGCTACAGGAGGGGGCGGTTACCCTTTAGCAATCCTTTACGACTTTGGCTCACCTCATAGAGGGTCCCCAAGGAGGTGCGCACGACGGTCTGGAGGCCACACAAAGGATGCCGACCCCGCCTCCACCTCCCTCAAGGGGCGCACCGGTCCAAGCACCCCGCTACCTCGGGCACTCAACACTCAAATCGAAGAGGATGTCAACTCACCCCGACCATCGGACACGCGGGGAGGGGGTGACATCTGCCAAGATCACCATCGAGAGGGTGATAGAAGGAGGTCGTCCCATGTTAGGCCCGCCTTTAAGAGGCTGGGCATGCGCGTGTCGGTCCGAGATAGGTTGGGCCCAAGGCCAACCCCTAACGCACTACAAGCGGAGGAATCATGTCCCCGAAGGTCGCCAAGCCGCGGGGCTCGAGCTCCGCCGCGACGCGAGTAGGCCTCCCGAGATGAGAGGTCGGGAAACAAATGGTCGAGCTCCAAGCACCAATCGTGACGAGGTCGAGCAGCTCCGTAAGCGAATGAACGAGCTCCCAGAGGGGATGAATCGCGCCCCAACAAGCTACCACCTTGTCGACCCACCCCGTTGAGGGGCTCCAAAGAGGTGTCCGAGCCCTCTTGCTTGGCCCCGACGTCTCTCGAGGGGTGCCTACATTTACCCCGCCCCTCCCAAGGGGGCGTGATAGGTCGAGCACCCGGCTCCCCCGAACCCCAGGAGCTCAAATATTGACATATGTTCTTATTAACCCATGGTTGCGGTCGTGCGTGTCGCCCCTGACCTTGTCATTTACCTAACGGTAGTACATGGGGGACGCCCCACTCACTACCTAACGGAAGAACATGTTATGGGTTGCTTTCCCCTTGACAAGGTCAAAGCCAAACCGGTGGGGAGAACCTACATAGTCCCCCGTGATATACACAACAAGAAGTCCTCCAATGACACCTTGCTACATTAGGTGTCAGTCGTAGAGGAGGTCCACAATGGGACCTGCCCGGTCCACCGGGGGGTCCGTCCCCTGTAATGATGTTTTAAGAGGTGGAGCATTCCCTCCAAAGATGTTGCAAGAGGTGATCCGTCCTCTCCAATAATGTTTCAAGAGGTCATCCGTCCTCTCCAATGATGTTTCCAGAGGTCGTCCGTCCTCTCCAATGATGTTTCAAGAGGGGGAACGTCTCCTCCAACGATGTTTTAAGAGGTGGAGCGTCCCCTCCAAAGATGTGGCAAGAGGTGATCCATCCTCTCCAATGATCTTCCAAGAGGTGGGACGTCTCATCCTACAACGTTTTAAGAGGTGGAGCATCCCCTACAACGACGTTTCAAGTCCCTCCAACGATGTTGTAAGAATCGAGTACTCACCTGACCTCCCCAACCGTACCCTAAGGGGGCACGAGGTTCGACCTCGCGTACCAACCCCGACGGGAGAGCCCGATAGCTTAGTCCGGCAGGACTTGGCTCATGCGGGTAGTGTACCCTAAGGGGGCACGAGCTCCGACCTCGCGTACCAACCCTGACGGAAGAGCTCGGTGGCTTAGTCCGGCAGGAATCGACCCAAGTGGCTTGCGCACCCTAAGGGCGCACGAGGTCCGACCTCACGTACCAACCCCGACGGGAGAGTCCGAGGGCTTAGTCCGGCAGGACTTGGCTCATGCGGGTAGCGTACCCTAAGGGGGCACGAGGTCCGACCTCGCGTACCAACCCCGACGGAAGAGCTCGGTGGCTTAGTCCGGCAGGACTCGGCCCAAGCGGCTTGCGCACCCTAAGGGGGCACGAGGTCCGACCTCGCGTACCAACCCCGACGGGAGAATCCGATGGCTTAGTCCGGCAGGACATGGCTCATGCGGGTAGCGTACCCTAAGGGGGCACGAGGTCCAACCTCGCGTACCAACCCCGAAAGAAGAGCTTGGTGGCTTAGTCCGGCAGGACTCGGCCCAAGCGGCTTGCGCACCCTAAGGGGGCACGAGGTCCGACCTCGCGTACCAACCCCGACGGGAGAGTCTGATGACTTAGTCCGGCAGGACTTAGCTCATGCGGGTAGCGCACCCTAAGGGGGCACGAGGTCCGACCTCGCGTACCAACCCCGACGGAAGAGCCCGGTGGCTTAGTCCAGTAGGACTAGGCTCAAGCGGCTAACATACCCTAAGGGGGCACGAGGTCCGACCTCGCGTACCAACCACGACGGAAGAGCCCGGTGGCTTAGTCCGGTAGGACTAGGCTCAAGCGGCTAACGTACCCTAAGGGGGCACGAGGTCCGACCTCACGTACCAACCCCGACGGAGGTGCCCGGCGGCTTAGTGGTCCAGGGGGACTAGGCCTCAAACGGTTAACATAAGGCATTGTGCTAAAAAAAAATGAATCAATAAGGGAGAGCTGATTGTCCATTCAAAACGCCAAGTCAATACAATGTGCCCACCTCCCAGAGGGGAAACATAAAATGTGCCCACCTCCGAGAGGGGAAGCATGTTTAACGAAGCAAAGACAAAAGAAAGTATCTCCCGGAGGAGAGACATAAAATGTGCCCACCACCGGGAGGGGGAACATGTTTAACAAAGCAAAGACAAAAGGAAGTACCTCCCGGAGGGGAGACATAAAATATGCCCACCTCCAGGAGGGGAAGCATGCTTATCGAAGCAAGGTACAAAAGGACACACCTCCCGGAGGGGGCCATAAGATATGCCCACCTCATGGATGGGAGACATAAAATATGCCCACCTCCCTGAGGGGAGTCATAAAATGTGCCCACCGCCCGGAGGAGAGACACAAATGTGCCTACCTCCGGGGGGAGAAGCATGTTAGGAAAAGTACAAAGTGGTGGAGCGGAAGACGGAACCATATGATAAAGAAGGGATGACGCTAATCAAGCCGCTATCAAGTCTAATCCTTGAGGTTGGGGTCAGTCACGTTGGGGTCGGCCACGTTGGGGTCGGTCACGTTGGGGTCGGTCACGTTGGGGTCGGCCACGTTGGGGTTGGCCGTGTGGGGCTCGGATCCGTGGAGTGCGACTCGTGTTTACTCTCCTCCATTAACGAACCTCGGCCCAAGAGGGGCTACCTCATGAGCTCACCCAAGAGGAGGACGACTACCCCATGAGCTCGCCCAAAAGTGAACTCAGAAATCAAAGTCTCATACACGATGCCAGGGAGTCCAAGACTTGTTAGTGTTCTTGCGGAAGAGAAGAAGTCTCACTCATGATGGATATCTTACGATTGGAGCAAATCGACCCGGGAAAGCGGAACAAGGAAGTATGGAATAGACCCGGGGCATAGTGGTGAGGCCCCTTACTCGGCCCAAGGTGCCTCGGTCATGGTGAGCTCGGTCACAGGAGGTCGGCTAATTATTAACTCGGGGCAATCGCGTGGGAGTCGGCTCGCAATGTGTCTACTCTCTATCGTTGTCGACTTATCACAACGAAGAGAGTGGGGGACTCGTGATGGATATATTGGACCCGGAACGAACCGACCCAGAGAGACAGACCCTAGGCGCCTCGGCCCAACCCCTTGGGCCGTGGCCGGGTCGGCCCAAAGCAACTCGGCCATGGGCCGAGCCCGGCCACGGACGAGCTCGGTACACCCGAGCTCGTCACCATGGACCCGGCTACTACCGAGCCAAGCCGGTCCATGGTGGACTCGGCTAGCCCGAGCTCGGCACATGCCCGGCTCGGCCATGCCGAGTCGCCCCGCTTTGGACCCGGTCCCGGAGGGGACGCGGTCAAAGCGGGCCGATCTAACCACCCCCGGTTCTAGGGGTGCTGTTGGGGGTTGAGCTGGTATAAAAAGCTCCCTCCTTGTCCTAACAAAGGACCCTGATCATTATCTTACACAACACAACATATTCCTGAATTACTATCTTCTAGCATTATTGTCCTAATCAAGTCTTGTAATAGCTTATTAGCGACAATTAATACAATATACGGTCCCTGCGGCCTTACGATATCTCTGCGTTATATTATTTATTTCGTACGTATTCTTATCCGGGTTTAATAATTCGGGCTACCCCGAATGAATTAAATCCATCATCTACAATTCCACATGTATATGTCAATTCGCAAGCCATCTACGACTTATTCAAAGTCAATGGATAAAAGACATTTGATTGTTCTAGTTGGATTTTCTTTTATATCTCTTGGTTATGGTAGAATATTTTCATTTAAATTTTAATTATTAAATTATTAGATTTACTTCTTAATTTTTGTGTGAGTTAATTCCACCATAGGTTCATTGTCTTTGGTGGCAATTTTAAATTTAGTTCAGACTATCTTTTTGCCATTTACCGTCCCTAGACTATTATTTTTTGGACACTTTTAGTCTTTCTCAGGACTTTTTCTATTTTTAGTAAGGACATTTTTGTCTCTTCATATTTTTCTTTTGTTATTTTTCTGGTTTCAACTGGTTTAATTGATTTAGGACTTTAATAAAAATCGGTTGAAAAATATTATTACTAAAAATCAGAGATTACCTAAACTTATAAACCAATTAAACCGGTTGAATTCGGAAAAATAATAAAAGAAAAATATGAAAAGATAAAAATGTCTTTACTAAAAATAGGAAAAGTGATGACAATGACTAAAAGTGTCCAAAAAATAATAGTTTAGGGATGTTAAATGGCAAAAGCGATAGTCTCGGACTAAATTTAAAATTGCCACCAAAGACAAGGGACCTCTGGTGGAATTAGTATACAATATGTTAAATGCTTTTGTAGGGGCGGATGCCAATGAAGGGCAAAGTTATAGGTAGCTAGGGGACGAAAAGTTATGATTTTTTTTTTTTTAATTATCGACTAACATTATTGTTGGATTGAAATAACGAGATTTAATTTCCAACCGTGGCAGATGCCTAAAGAGTCAAGTAGGGATGGAGCCAGAAATTCGGTTGGGGGGGGGGGGGGGGGCGAAGAAGTAGCGACAGATTCAGAAATTGTTTTCAGTAAAGGCGAAATATTAAAACAAAAGAGATAATTTTAAAAAAAAATTAAACACATCTCATTATTAATATAAAAGAATGTTATATATATGTGTGTATTAAATATTAAAAAGTTGTTAAAAACGTGACTGTGTTGAAACCATAGGGAAGGAGTTAAAAAAAAAAACTGTTGAAGCCAACTATAAAACTATGTTAAAGCCAAAATTCCAACACATATCCTTTATCATAACTCAACATGTGCTCAATCAACTCATCTAAATCAACTCTTGTTAACATTCAATAGTTTTATTTTACTAATACTAACACATGTACTATATATACATATATACATACAAAAATTATATATGGGGTGGGGGTGGGGGTGGGGTGAGGGGGCAGCTGCCCCTTGCCCCCCCTTTGGCTCCGTCCCTAGAGTCAAGTATAGCATCATGTATGCCTCTTAAAATGTGGCGGTATGAAGAAATAAAGTAGCGCCTTCGCTATTATTTATAATTTTTGGCATATAGTTGTGGTCGCGCTTAATAATGAGCGAAACCAACAACCGCTATTTAAAAGTGTAGATTGTGTATATCTCACTCGTGTGTAACAGCTTGCAAACCACATGAAAATGCCTTTTGTTCTTTAAAATGTGATATATGGCAAGAAGTAGCTATTTTTGAGACACGTACTAATGATTAAGGGTCATTATTGTTCAAATGAGTCTACCCCTTCTCATGGGTCCATATAAACAGATATGATCCATTAAAAGTTAGAGATTAATGGTCTTGATTTTTCACAATTGTGCACTTCATAGACAATTGCACAGTTGAAAAAATCTAGCTAAACCATTAATCTCTAACTTTAATATACCGATCTGTTCATATGGACTTATAGGAAATGGTGGACTTATTTGATCATGAGTCATGATTAAGATTTAAAAAAAGAAACAAACAAAAAAAAAAAAAAAAAAAAAAAAAAAAAAAAAAACATTGCATACGTACCTCAAATTGTTTATCTGCCACTGCAAGATGCAGAATGGTGTGGCCAGAACTATCTCTCTGATTCACAAAATCCCCACCACCATCTCCTATCATCTCCACCAGAATCTTCAAAGCCTCCAACTGGCTATGCTTAACACACAAATGCAAAATGGTCTCTCCCAACCGCTCATCATCCACACCCATCATATCAACCAATCCACTACTAGAAGACGATGATATTGCATCAATCAACTCCTTCAATACTTCAAGTCTTCCTTTCATGGCTGCGAGGTGGAGCGGTGTTAGGCCATCTCTATCACGAGCCAAACACATCCCAGGATCAACTAACACCAAAGCTCTAACCACATCAACGTGCCCTTTGGCCGCCGCGATGTGAAGAGGGGAGGAATGCTTCGAGTTCAACTCCTTAACGAGTTGGGGTTTTCTTGTAATGATTTCCTTAACAAAATCATGGTACCCCAACATCGCTGCAACATGCAATGGGGTCTCGGAATAAGTGTTCACTATGGTTCGATCCAGAATCAAAGGATCTTCATGTAACAGCCTCTTTAAGGTTGCCACGTCTCCCTCAAGTGCAGCTTCAAAAACCCCCCTTTCCATTTTGATGTTTTTTTAATTTGTCACAGTATACATACACTGTACTATATATTGAGACATATTTGGGGTGTCTTATAGTTTTAGCTTCTTCCATATTTGAACTTTCCACTAACGAAAGTTGAAAGAAGTTTCACACAATATTCTATGTTGTCTTCATTAACATATAGAGGCTGGCATGGCCACGTGGTATTTGAGAATATGAATTGAAGCAGCTGATGGTTACATTTAAAAAAATCTGGCGATTTTTTTGCTTATATGTGTGTAGACGAATAGCTTGCTTGTCTTTCACGGCTTTAGTACAAACTATTCAAAGTATGAAATGCAACTTAAAAATAATCTGTTACTGTAACTTGGACTCCTATTAATGGATTTTCTCTTCTGAATGACTAAATTTGTATTCTAATATATCTTTCAAAGAGACATCGCCTACCAATCCTGGCCTCTTGGAAAGTTTTTTTTTTTTATTTTTATTTTATTTTTTTGGATAGCATATAAGCACTTTTAGCACTTTTTCTATCAGTATGTCATTGCAGGTTGGCAAATTATTGTGTGGACCATGCATGATTCAAATAGATGTATGGACTATGAACATAAGATATATTTTTAATTTACTAAAAGTACATTTTTTGATAATATATAAAATAATGTACTTACAAATAATGTACTTTATGTACATAAATAATGTACTTTTAATATATTAAAATTATATTTTTATTTATGGTCCAGCATGGCCCATGTAATAATGTTTGGTTGCCTGATTAATTAATTTGCCAATTGTACCTAAGCTAGACTTAATGGTTTGTAAGTCATAAATTTAATTTGGCCTTTATAAGTTATTCTAAAACTAGAAAATTACTTTTTGATTACAAATTTAATTTGGCCTTTATAAGTTATTCTAAAACTAGAAAATTACTTTTTGATTTGTGGGTACTAACTTGTCTATATAATTTTTTTTTTTTTTAAATACTCATAATTCTTTACGAGGTATTATTAGTTCTATATTTTCTTAAACAGTTTCAGCCTAAGAATCTATGCACTCACCACCGGGTTCACACCTACGACCACTCATTTGTAATGGCAACAGGGATGCCATCACACTACATGATAGTTGGCATCTATACAATTTACTTAGCATCATCAAAATTTGTAGAACATAATTCCTAACAGTTGTAAAATTAATTAGTTTTTTTTTTTAAATATAAAATCTTAGAGTGATTTCTCAGTGTGGTTGAATTTACATATATCTTATTTAACAGTATTATTAAGGAGCAAATTTGTGAAAATTAAAAGAGGGTGACAAGCTTTATAATTCCAACAATTGAGAGAGCAAAAGAGTGATTTTACCTATTTATAAAAACAATTAATTTCTTGAATGCTATGGTCAATACCACCTTTGCTAGGGCTTAAATTCATAACAGTTCATTTAAGAAAATCACTTCATGCCACTAAACTGCAAGGTAATTATTAAACTATATATTTACTTTGAATGAAGTATTAATGTATCAAATACATAACTCAATTATTATAAATGTTGAAGAACGAATTGAAATAAACAAATGAAACAAAGATATATGGGATTTGTTTGTATCGTATTTAGGCGAATTAATGGAATTTAATTACCAAGTCATAAATTGAGATTTAATTTTTAGAATTTTTTTGAAGGTAGTTTTAATTTTTAAATTAATTATTTGTATATGTCAATTCGCAAGCCATCTACGACTTATTCAAAATTTGAGCTAATTACTGTTGATAGTCTTGATACAATAATCAATGGATAAAGACATATAGAGGCTGGCCAGCTGGTAACTGAGAACATGAATCAGGTGACAATTAATGTGTAGATGAATATTGAATAGATTGCTTGTCTTTCATGGCTTTAAATTCGTACAAACTATTCAAACTATGAAAGGTAACATTTTTTTTGGGGTCCAGTCATATTCATATCGTATCATGACATGTCCAATTGATACAATACTCGTGAGATAAAAAAATGTGAAAAAAATTCGTTTTAACTTATAATATCTTGTTAAAGCAAAATTTTATGATGTGAGCTATGTTGATGTGGACTATTAATGACTTTCCTACCTATGGTATGTTATCTGGATAGCAAACCATAGGAAAAATAGCATGTCTTTATTGCATTCATTGTACTATTTTTTTTTTTTATCTTAAAAATAGGCATAAGACATGTTGGTTTGATTGTAAGTGACAATTGCTTCCAATAGATCACCTCTTTAGAAAAAATTCATGATTTTTTTATCAAACGGGTAGAGAAGTCAAGACCCTCGAGAATTTGGACAGGGGAGAAGAGTTGTTGGCTACTATGCTGATGTTTTAAAAAATTATTGACGGCCCCCAATCAATCAACTTCGAGTGGATTTGGGATTAAGCAATTAAGTGAATCTGATGTCCGAAGTCACGCATACAAGGGAGAAATACGAAGAATTATACATTAGACAGATGAAATGACTATTTTACCGTTTCATTTAAAGTCCAATTTACCGTAATCTGACGAAAGGACCTCAATTGGAAAGAAATTGAAAGTCAAGAAACGTAAAGTGTTCAAATTAAAAGTCGATGACTAATTTTATAAAATTAATATAGTCGGAGGACCATTGCTGAAATTAACTCTTTTTTTTTTTTTTTTTTTTTTTTATGACCAGGGAAATGTGACCTAGGTGTGCACGGGATAAATATGATTTTGATTGCCGCAAGGTGAACCAGAGTTAGGCCATCTCTTCTATCACGAGCCAAACACATCCCCGGATCGACTAACAAAAATGGTTCTAACCACATCAACGTGCCCTTTGGGCACCGCGAGGTGAAGAGGGGAAGAATGCTTCGAGTTCAACTCAATGAGTTTGGGTTTTTTCTAAGGATTTCTTTAATAAAACCATGGTGTCCTAGTATTGCTGCAACATGTAATGGTGTTTCGGAATAAATGTTCACTATGGATAAGGATAATTCACACATGTCCACCCGTTTACGATTCAAATCGGTTTACAACATATATAATTTAATTTCGATAGTTTTCTTACCTTTACTATGATCGATGGGAATGGTATGGAAGATATCTCATATCATTACTGAAAAAATGTAAATAACCGACTTTTTTTTTTTTTCATTAAAAAAATTAAGTGAAGATTAGTGAAGGTGAAGTGAATTTTTTAATCTCTCTTACCGACTTGTGGTCGAAATTTGTGACCACATTTTTGTTAGTTACTATTATGTTATATATATTGAATTATTATTGTAACTGATATATTTGATGGTTCTAATTAAGTTGTAATAGAAAAATTAGATATCCCAAATTAATGTATGTTTTGTGATGGTCCCAAACGATAAGACATTTTGGGTTGGGGGATTATTATAAGTAAGGGTTGTAAGTAATACAAGTCTACCTAGTAAAAAGACTTTCTTGATACACATTATAAATAGAGAGCCTAATAAGTAGTAGGAGATTTGATTTACAAACATTATTTATTCTAACACGATACGAGGTATCCTCACTGCTAAAAGTAGATTAGCACAAGCACCAATGAGCATACTTATCAAAACAAGTAAATTAAGTTTAATTGAGAGCTGCAAAAGTTAGAGTTTGAAAATAAGTTATACACAACGATAAAGTCTACATCAAATCTTATTGGTAAATTATTTTATTCCCAAGTTGGTGATTCGAATTCGTTCCCTCTATCAAACAAATTTTGAAATTCGGCTATAAATATGAAGATTGTTCTGCACGAGATACATAAGAAATTAAAGCATATCAAAAATACTTTCAAGCACTCTAAAATCGTTTCAAGTTCACATCTAATCATCATAGAGACTTAAAGAGTTTTAAAGAAGATTCAGATTTTCAAGTCTTATTAGTTGCATGATATTCAACCTTTGTATTGAAGTGTTGTAGATCTCTACATCATTTGTGTTGAAGTCCACCAAGCAGTACATCCTGGGATTCGTGCTGAAAAAAGGGAAAGTGATGAAATTGTCCCTTAGATTAAAGATTAATTGGTTAATTAAATTTTTTCGGTGGTATTTGACCGGCAATTTGATCGGAGTGATCAAAATTAATAAAAATTGAATAGTTAAGGTATTAAATTAACAATTTTAAAAGTCGTGGATTGCAATTAACAAGACTCCAATAGTTACAGGACCAAAATTGAAATTTACTCACATTTTAAATTAAATACATATTTACTTAAAATTTTTTTTTTTTGATCATGTGAGAGGGGGATACCCAAAGGAACTAACAGCTAAACATTTACTCCCCTTGTGTTCTGGGGAACTCGTCTAGTCATCATAGCCCCAACCTTATCATGGTGCAAAACTTCCAGGGTCTCCAAAGGGGGATCCTCAAGATAGCAACATCCATTATAGTGGACACTTGCCATCGCAGCCAACCGATCCGCCAGGCGATTTTGCTCACGATATACGTGCTCATAGCTGACCTCGCTAAAATACCCTGCTTCTCTTGCGCATAGCCTAATGATATTATGTCTCCGGTCAGGCTCGCCATTTTGACTGTTTAAGCTATCGATCGTTGCTTTGGAGTCGCTTTCAACAATAATCCTTTGCGCCCCATAATGTTTCGCCATGCGTAAACCTTGAAGAACAGCCCATGCCTCTGCGTCTTCCACCTTGCATCTGCCAATGCGGTACATGAACCCCCTGAGCCATGCCCCACGCTTGTCTCGCAAAACGCCACCGCAACCAGCCACGCCAGAGCCCTTGACGCATCCATCTACGTTTAACGTGAGCCAACCGTCCGGCGGCTTCCTCCACGCTGCTTGTACGGTTCCCGCCGTTGTGGTGTGCCGTGACGTTCTCTGTCTTGCCTCGAAAGCCGCCAGCACCTCCTTGTCATAACTCCTTAGCCACAACATCTTTTGCTCAGTGGCTGGTGTACAGTTGTTGAAGACCCCATCATTCCGCCAGCGCCACAGCCACCAGACGCGAATTGCAAACTTCTCCGGCCAGCCGTCATCGAAACCTGTTTTCGCATCTCCCCGAAGGTTCGTCACTAGCCAGTCATTCCAATTCAAGGTTCCTGTGGCGTTTCGTACACGACTGGGTAACGAAAGATCCCAGATTGGTCGCGCAGCCACACACGTTCTAAACAAATGATTTAGATCCTCTCGTTTCCCTGCACATAGAAAACAAACATCAGAAGTTGTAATATGTCTCCTGCACCGCTCAAAATTGGTGAGGATACGTTCGTGCTTTAACAGCCATAGGAACATGCTAATTTTTGCGGGAACTTGTAGCCTCCAGATTCTACCCCAATCCTCCTCCTGATTCGTAGTAGGAGTCGCAACAATCAGGTCATAGGCCGAGGCCACCGAGAATTTTCCGTTTTTACCCGGCCCCCAGCCCAGCTCATCTGGCATACTCTCCTCCGTCAGGATGTACCCAGCTAATCTCTCTTTAGCCTCTTCCGGCAGCGTCTGGTCAAGTTTCTCCCACATCCACCCACGAGCATTATCCCAGTAGTCCACCACATTCGAGTATAGCTCGGGTAGACTTAAAGGCCTGAGAAGCTGGCTGTATAAGGGTTCCCCATTGAGCCAATTATCCATCCAAAAACGCGTTGTCATTCTGTTACGTACCACTCTTGTGAGCCCCTTATCCAAAAAGCCTTTGGCCTCGGTGATACCTCGCCAAGCGTTCGACGCTTTCTTGCTTCCCGGCATGACCGAGGGCGTAGGAACACTCAGCTTCTTATACTTAGATTCAAGAACTTTCAACCAAAGGCTTTGGGGTTCCGTATTAAGCCTCCATGCAAGCTTCATCATGCACGCTTGATTCATTTCATGGATCTTCCGAAGACCCAGACCTCCATTCGCCCGTTTTGATGTTACCAGATCCCAGTTTGCCAGGTGGATTTTCCGCTCATTCGGCGCATCGCCTCCCCCCCATATAAACCTTCTGGTTCTTTTCTCGATCTCAAGACAGACGCCTTTGGGTAACGCCGCAGTCTGCATTGTGTAAACCGGGATTGCATTCAAAACTGACTTGGCCAACACAACTCGACCCGCTAAAGAAAGTGTTTTCGCCTTCCATCCCTCTAGCCGTGCCGAGACCCGATCCAACAACCCCGAATACGTGCTTCCAACGACCCTACCGTGAAGAGACGGTACGCCCAGATACCTTCCTAGATCGTCAGTCTGCGCGATCCCAAGTTTGGCCGCTATCTCGCTGGCCACTGCTGATACCGTGCACTTTGAAAAGTGAATAAGGGATTTATCTAGGCTAATTTTCTGCCCGGACGCTGCACAAAACTTGTTAAGACATCCCTGGATAATTTCCACCTGCTCGATCGATGCTTCACTGAAGAGGACCATATCATCTGCAAAACAAAGATGAGATATAATTGGACCATTAGAAGCAAATTTCAAACCTTTCCACTGCGTGCTCTCGACTTCGGAAACAATAAGCTGGCTTAAGCGCTCCATGCAAAGGACAAAAATTGCGGGGGACATGGCGTCCCCTTGGCGTATACCCCGTTCCGGTTTAATGGGCTCCATGCGCTTCCCATCCCAGATGATAGACAGGCTTGGAGTCCTAATGCAGGTCATGATTATGTTGGTCCATGTCTCGTTAAACCCTGCAAGCTGAAGGGTCTCCTGGATAAAGTCCCAGGATAGCCGGCCATAAGCTTTCTCAAGATCTAATTTGATAGCCATGTACCCCGTATTACCACGTTTCACTCGCATGGTGTGTAGAACCTCTTGGTAAATGATCACATTGTCCGATATCTGGCGCCCAGGGACAAAGGAGCTTTGGAACGGGCCCACCAACTTTGGCAAAATCACTTTCAGTCTGTTGGTGATCGTCTTTGTTAGGATTTTGTAACTTACGTTACATAGGCTAATGGGCCTAAACTGCGTAATCCTCTCTGGCACTTGAACTTTGGGAATTAGGGCCACGAGGGTATCATTCAGACCGTCCGGGATCGTACCAGTACGAATCGCGTCATGGACTAACCGGGAGATACTATGACCCACCACCGGCCACATATGTTGATAGAAGCCTGCATGAAAGCCATCCGGCCCCGGGGCTTTGAACGGTTTCATGTCTGTCACCGCTGCGTGCACCTCCTCTGGTGTCACCGTCCTGTTGAAAACCCTCCATTCTGAGCCCTCCAAAATGGGAAAGCTTGCTTCGGGGAGAGATACCATCGTCAACTGATCATCCTTGGAGAAAAGGCGGGCATAGAAGAGCCGAATATGATCCCTCAGTCCACTTTCTTCCGTGAGCCAGAGCCCATCTTCGTTCATAAGCTGCGCAACCTTGTTTCGCGAACGCCGAACGGTCGCCGCCGCATGGTAATACGCTGTATTCCTATCGCCTGCCGTGATCCACTCTTCTTTCGATCATTGGTACCATAGAAGTTCTTCCTGGTAAAGAATTTCCTCTAGCTCTCTACGTAGCTTATACTCGAGTTTAAAGAGACCCCTGTGTTGTCGAGTTGCCAGCATTCGTTGCACGCCCCCAATTCGGGCCAGCAAGGAATTCTTTCGGAAGTGGATATTACCGAAGACCGTCCTGTTCCAACCGGATAAAGTCGATGCGAGGCCATGCAGGTTAGATCTGAGGTCAAGACCACCGTTCCAAGTGTCATGAACCACCTCCTGCAAATCCGGGTGTCTCAACCATGCCGCCTGAAAAAGGAAAGGACTCATGTTAGAATAATTTCTGGACCGTCCCCCATCCAGCTTGAGCAGAATGGGGGCGTGATCAGATGCCAAACGGGCCAAGTGTGAGACAGCAGCATCTGGAAAGCGTGCCCGCCACTCCAGGTTGCACATCGCCCGGTCTAAACGGGCGCCTTTGATGGTGGTAGTTGAGCCGTCCTTAACCCAAGTCAACTTTGGCCCCGAAAACCCAAGATCCACGAGGCCTTCATCATTGATCCAATTTACGAACTCTGAGCTTCTTTGAGCAGAGAAAGAGACATAGTTCTTCGTCTCCTCTCTACTAACTACAGTGTTAAAATCTCCCGCCACCAGCCAGGGCCCTTGTATCCCTCTGCTCGCATGCGTGAGATCAGTCCATAGTCTCCGTCGTAGGTGATGAGCTGGGCTGGCATACACTGCCGCAAGGTTCCAGGGATCCTGGCCCGGCTGAGAAACCTGTAGCAAAATAAACTGCGGGTGAGTGAAAGAGACTGTAACCTTAAACACATCTTTCCAAAAAACCCAGATACCCCCACTGAAACCGACAGCTTCAATACGGATCCAGTCCGAGAAGCCGAGGTTGGAGCAGATTTTGTTAGCCTGAGAGCCGGATACCTTTGGCTCAAAAAGACCAAGGATGCATGGCTTGTGCGTTTTCAGAAGATGAAGAAGAGCGCGGCGGAACGGCTTGCCACCTGCGCCCTGACAATTCCAAAACATGCAGATCATTAAAACCTGGGAGAAAATCAACAATTCAAAAGAACCAAAAGAGACAACATAAAAGGAGAAAAACAAAGGTCCAAATTATTGAACCCCGTTATGCTCCCCGATCTCACGCTGCGCCTGACTCGACTCAAGATTCATGACCACATCCCCTTCATCATCCCTTTTTGCGAGAGGGTCACTGTGATGTTCATTAGTCGCCTGCCAAACTGGAGACGGAATGTCACCCACCATGTCCCCCATACACACCCTAGTTGAGCTTATGATCAGGCCCCCCTTTTCACCCCGCACGACAACATGCTCCTCTTCTTCAGCTGCCCGTCTGGAATGCGTGTTCGGGTTTCTTCGTGGCAGAGACGAGGACTGGGCGATGTCGACTGCCCCAGCACGGGCTGACCTTCCAACCTCGTTCTCAATTTGTTTCTCCGTGGCAATCACATTTGGTCTCCTTTGCCTTCCTCCACCACTTACCCGCACAGGTGCGCTATTCTTTAACTCAGCCGGAATTTGGGAGATTCCGACGCCATCCTCATCTGCCGGTCCTTCATCAGCGATCTCAGCATTAATTCCCTCATTGTTGGGATCGTGTCGCAAGGGGGCGAATCTTGAAACCTGTTCACCACCTTTGCGCTTGTCGCCTCCAGCAGCGGGTGCCTGATGCTGGGCAGGGCGGCTGCCTGGTGGCCTGCCCCCTTTTCTTCCTGGAGCAATCATCCAAACGCCAAAAGGTGCCGAACCAACAGCGTCTGGTCTCACTACTGCACTCTGTTTTGCGATGCCCGTCTCAGCTTGTGGCCGGTGTTCCCTCGTCGCCTCTGCTTGGTTCTCCTTTGGATCCTGTGTGGCTTGTGCACGCTTGGGGCATGTCTCTTCTGAATGTCCATATAAACCACACGTAAAACAGACCATATGCAGGCCTTCATAGGATACATACCTTACACGGCCATTGTACGTAAATTTGGAAATCATGGGCTTTGTAATATCGATCTCAACACAAATCCGCGCGAACATGCCCCTCGACACCAAACTTGTTGCTTGATCAACTCTCACCGATCTCCCCACCTTGTTGCCGAGCTTTCGCAGGAAAATTATGTTGTAATATTCCGCCGGCAGACAAGGTATCCGGATCCAAACTAAGACTTTTTCCGTATGAGCCGCGAAAGGATCAAAGTCCGGCTCCCATTCTTTGACGATGAGGTAGTGATCCAACACCATCCAAGGTCCTTCGAACATGGCGAACTCCAGGTCGTCCACAGAGCCGAAGCGAACGAGAAAATATCCATTATCAATCGCGATCAGATCTAGACTCCCCTTTGGTTTCCACATGGAGATCAATCGTCTCAACAGGTAGGCATATCCCACAGTCCGGCCTAGCACCTTAACAATAAGTGTCTTCCTCCACGGTGCGCGGATTGCTTCGATCTCCCTCTTAGTCAGACGTATGGTGGGGCACAAGGGGTCGTCACCTTCGTCGTCCAGCATCTCCTCGTCGTCAGTTGATTCCGCACTACTCAGATCATGATCCGCCACCTGGGAAGGCAGAAGATGCACGGTCGTGCCAGCTAAACTCTGCGCATACGTTCGTCGAGATTGAATCGGCGCCTGCGATGAAGCACGCATTCCCACTTGTGTGTCCATCTCTCTGTCACCTTGATCCTCTGCATGTGCCGATGTGACCTTCGTAACCATCTCATCCGATGGGGTCTCACTCACGACCTCCACATCCGCATGTGTCTGCCCCGCCTCTCCTGATCCCAAAGCGTGGATCTCCGCCGCATCAGCTGTTCGTTTCGGCTTCTTCGTGCTCCGTTCAAGGAGGTCCCGGTCTTCCGTCGAGCGCTGGTTAGAGAGCATATTTTCCAAAACACCCACTAAAAGGAATTACAATTCCATATTTACTTAAAATTTTAGAAACCAAAATTCTATACTAAGATTATGAATGCTCTTAATTGTATCGTAAAAGAAATTATAAAATTAGGTACAAATCATATTTATTATTATAAAAGTTGCAACTTCAATTCGTTTCTTTTTAGTTTCACTTTTTTTTCTTTTGACACAAAACTACATTATTATAAAGTTGTAGCTTCGTCAATTGTCTCTTTTTAGTTTTACTAGTATTTGTACCCGTGCGATGCACGGCCATGATATTATGGTTCAATATATAAAAGATTGTTATATTGAAGATATAGGACTAATAAGGTTTTAGATGTAATAAATAGACAAAATATAATTTATTGGCGTTCCATAAACAAAACAATTACGCATTATTAAGAATTTCTTTGTAAAGTACATTTTGAGTATTTTTTAAATGAGTATTTTTTAAAAGACCTCTAGATTCCCCACAAATTAAGACTTTAAACCATCAGGATTACTCACCCCTGCTACATATAATTGACCATGGTTAAGAACTGATTTTTACTCACCCCTGCTACATATAATTGACCATGGTTAAAAACTGATTTTTTCAGTAACAAACCAACACGTGAAAATGTTTAACCTTGACTTTTGTTGATTGTCATTGCATATGATAGCATAAGTGGGAACTGCTTTCTTTGAAATTTAAATGATAGTCTTTAATATGTTTGACCTTACTTTTGTTGATTGTCATTGCATATGATAGCATAAGTGGAAACTACTTTCTTTGAAATTTAAATAGTAGTCTTGAGTATTAAGGAGTCAATGCTATATTTTAATTGGCCGAAATCTTATACGGAGTATATGACTTTATTATATAGTAGGATTATTATTATTAAATAAAGTAACACATAATTTGTAAACAGTAAAATATCAAACAATTATGTAATTATTTAACTAAACTACTTTAACATGAATTTTACAATCCACAAATATACACAAAATATAAACCATATATATCTAAATAGACTTTAAATATTACTCTAACAATGTAAATACATGTACTATAGGTGTAATTAATTCACTAATAAACTATATATACTATTTATTTATATTATATTAATTTCTATATATAAATATATGTCTTTAAAATATATATTTATATATATCGCTAATCTCCTCAATTAACAGGTGTATGTTAATAAATAAATAAATAAATAAATAAAAGATAAGCTTTGTTGAGAAGAAGGTTGGCTTCTGGACATTTCCGATCTACACTCTCTCTCTCTCTGTCTACAGCACTATCAGGATCTGAAGTTTGCTATGAGGTTTCTTATACTGCTCATTCTTCTGGAGATCAAACAATTCCATAAGCCATGACCGACGATGGCGAGCCGCAATCCTCGACGTCGTCCGCCTCTTCTTCACCAATTTACATCCACCCAAGACGTGAGCCCTTCGAGCACGGCCTTCCCCCCTTTCCCAAGCTCATCACGGCACCGAAACACTGGGCCCCATTTAGGACAAGCTCTCCTACCTCGCTTCCAACTCTAACCGTTAGATCCAATCGCATCACATTTTTGATTTCCTCCAGATATCACCTCAGGTACTAACGTACTAAATTGATTTTAACAGCTATTTAGAGTTTTTAGCTCTTTTTTTTTTTTTTATTGAGAATCATGTACAATTCCATAATTTATTGGTTAAATTGTAAAATTCAAACTTAGGGTAAGTCAATTGTCTTCTTCCTTTTTTTTATCTAACAACAGTTGATATAAATACTAAGATATCAGTTTGCAATTTACCTTTATTTGATGCATTTTGTTTTCTTTTATTGCCTATAGTGGTGGACTTTATAAGTTTCTTCATAATACTCCAATGTGAGAATGAATTTGAACTGTTCTAATCTAATAACTTTTTAGAGAGTGTTTGAGTAGAATAGAATGAGTTACACTGTGTGAAAAGTATTAATTTGAAATTTGAATTGTAGCTGGATTAATCTATTTGTAAATCATCATTGTGTCAATGGAACTCAACAGTTTTATCACTTGTAATGATAGCATATGTCATCATACATGTCCTCACAGTCTGTAAACTTTATTTTGTATGAGTTTTATTTTGCAGCCATTATATATTTAAATCATTATGTTCATTTGTTAAAGTTGGGTGACCATATCCTTAATTTTTATGACAATGTATTAGTAGAATTAAAGAAATGAAATCGGGTATGCCAAGAAATTTACCTCTATTTGTAGCTCTGTGTTTTCACTTACAGCCTATGGTAAGCAAACCTTTCACAATGATTTCACCTGCCTTTTCTTTTGAACTTGCTTGAAACTGAAGATGTTTTGAAAATGGAATATAGAGTATGTTAGTATTGCTTTATTTTAATGTAAGTACTAAAATTTGAAGTCTTTTAGCTTCATAGACCAATGTGAAAATGGTTGGGAAGCCAAAGACATGTTAGAGGGCGTATGAAGATATATGATCTGTTTAAAAAGGACAATGAAGACTAAGGTTAGAAAGGTAAATTTTTAAACCTATATCTAGACTTTGGTTACTGAATTATTGAAATTTGAGATTTTGAAATCCATAATATAATTCCATTTCACTTTGGTTACTTCAATTTTATATCAGGTACTAAAATTTGAGGTTTTAAAGCTTGTAAATCAATGTGAAAATGGTTTGGAAGCTAGAGACATGATACAGGGTGTATGAAGATATATGATCTGTTTAAAAAGGGATATGAAGACATAGCATAGAAAGGTAAATTTTTTATTCTATATTTGATACTTAGTTATATGAATTTTTTTTATTCGAGATGTGCGTAAGTATTTTTTAGCCTTGTTGTTCTTGATAAGCATTGAAGGATGTAGTAGAGAATACTGCACGTAAGTAAAACATGCAGATAGAATATAGAACAATATAGATAAAAAAAAAAAAAAAAAAAAAAAAAAAAAAAGACAAAAAAGCATGAGAACAGCCTTGGATTTCTTAACTTCTTGGCTTGATGAGAATTGGTCTAGTAAGTTACTCTTTGTTGCACCTGTCTCCACTGGTCATCAATGTCATCCAACCTTAGTTTTCCCAGATTCACTCTCCTGTATCCAAAAAAAAAAAAAAAAAAAAAATAGTTAGACAATGAATGAATAAAATTAAGTAACTGAATAGATTAGCTATGTACCTCAGACCCCTCCTCTTGACCTTCTTCATCAATCATCCTAGATACACAACTCATCATCCTTAGTCATTTTCATAACTGTGAGTAGTTTTGCTGGGTTCCTAAAATGTTCAAACCTTAGCAGAAATTTTAAACACCATAGCTTTGTTACAAATACATTCCAACTCAGTTTGAATTGGATTTCCACTCTGCAAAAATAGGCAAATATAATAGCTTTCCAGATTTAATTTAGCATAGCATCATTAATAGAAGATTTTAGGAAAAAAATACCATAGAGCATTTGCACCTGTTCCTCCATGTCGTGGAAGAGGCATTCTTGGCTCTTAACTGCATTAGAGTTTCGGCCTTCAGGTACTAAATATGTGCGAACCAATCTGACCCTTATAGCTTTCTTGTATGTAGTGAAGACTAATCTCAGAGCTAAATCACTAACCACTAACCATTATTTATAGGATTTATGTGAAGGTTGAAGAGTGGGAAATTCAAATTAGCATTGAAGGATGTAGAGTTCCAAAGCAACTCAACCATGGAAGAACAATAATTGTGTTGCACCGAAATATGAAACGACAAAAGTATAAAGGCATAAGATTTTTGAATTGCTGTTCGCAATATATAGAAGGATAGTTTAGGTTTATTGTTTAATTAATTAATAATTAATTTTAATCTCAATTCTCTTTTTCCGATGTAATTATTATTGTTCTGAAAAGAGCCTTTATTAGGAACAACTTTTAACCTATATGGGAAACCTAAAACGTGGCTGAGCATTAGTTAGTCTTTAATACAAATACAAATACTTTTGATAATAGACAATTACTGGCTGAATTAAAAAAAAAAAAAAAAATTAACGCAATATTCTTTATATCAAACGGCGTCACTTTATTTGGGCGGGAAATTGAAGCTATGTGATTGGCTGAATTCTTATGGTTTTATTATATAGTAGGACTTCTTTTCTTTGACACAAATGTGTTGCCTGCAAAACATAGGCATATAGTAGAAATCAATTTTAATGTAAGGTTATATTATTAATATACGAAGTTCCACTACTATTATCCCCAACACAAGTGAAAACAATACACTAGTTGCAAACAAAACCAATTAGGTTATTGATATCTACCAAAGACAGTTCTTAAATGATTTTTTCGTTCTTTATTGTCTTATCGCCATTTCAAAGGGTCGTCCACATAATCACCTTAAGAGAGGTATAAGATGATCCTTAAAGATATTAATCAGAATGACTAAATCAGGACAGAATCTATATGATTCTGTGAAGCTTTGAAAGCTCTTAGAAGAAATTGACAAAAGGGAATATTAATATTAATGACATAATTGGTAAAAAAAAAAATGTAATTTTAAAAAGAGTAAATACCCAAAATGGTCTCTCGACTATAGCTAAATTCACAAATTGATCCTCGACTTTCAATTTCAACCAATTAAGTCCTTAACTTTGCAATTTTGACACGATTTGGTCCTCCATCTATTTGACTGTTTGTTGACCGTGATCGGCGATCTCCAGAAAAACCGTTAGCTCTCGTCGGAGCATGTGGATGCCTCTAGGATAACGTTGCACCAGTTCGGAAACACGTCGTCTTCTTCGCTCTGGTTTGAACTCAATTACATTGAATCCAAAGGGAGGATGAAGAAAGGCGACCGGATTTGGTAGATTGCTTTCGGCAGTGGATTCAAATGTAACAGTGTGGTCTGGAAATACAACCGGAACCTTAAAAAACAGACGATTGACCATGAAATTACATATATATCCTCAAAAATCATAGTCAACAAACGGTCAAATAGACAGAGGACCAAATTGTGTTAAAGTTACAAAGTTAAGGACTTAATTGGTTAAAATTGAAAGTCGATGACCAATTTGTGAATTTAACTATAGTCGATGGACCATTTTGGGTATTTACTCTTTTAAAAAAGTTAGTTAGGGTAGTACTAGTACACTCTAGAATTGTTTAGAAACTGAACTGGGTCCAAGCTAGCATTTTGAAGATCCCAGAACCTGCCAGAAACTTATTTCCTTTCTCCAGAAACTTCTTCTTCCTACATAAATCCCAATCTCCTCAGCTCTTTCAATCACGTCAGCTAACATTCCAATTTCAATTCGCGAAATACCACAAAACACACTGTTGAAGAAATGGATTTGAGGTTGATGGGTTTTGATCACCCGCTCTTCCACCACATCATGGACTACGCCGGCGACGACAAGTCATCCAACAGCAGCGCGCCTTCTCGGACGTTTATGCTGGACGCCAAGGCAATGGCAGCCACCCCGGCGGACGTGAAGGAGTACCCAAACTCCTACGTCTTCATCATAGACATGCCGGGGCTGAAGTCCGGCGACATCAAGGTGCAGGTCGACGGCGACAACGTGTTGAGTATTAGCGGGGAGCGGAAGCGTGAGGCGGAGGAGAAGGAGGGGGCGAAGTATGTGAGGATGGAGAGGAGGGTGGGGAAGTTAATGAGGAAGTTTGTGCTGCCGGAAAATGCGAATAAGGAGAAGATCACGGCGGTTTGCCAGGATGGGGTGTTGACGGTGACGGTGGAGAAGCTGCCGCCGCCGGAACCGAAGAAGCCAAGGACCATTGAGGTCAAAATTGGTTGAGATGATGAGCATATGCATCTAGTTATGAGTGCTCTGTTTTCCTTGCGTGATGAATAATTGTGTTTTTAAATGTGATGCACAATATAATGTATGTTGGAAGGAGTTTCTGTTGGTTTTAATGAGGAAAATACGTGTTTCTATATATAAATAATAGTTTATTGATGGAAAGTAGTGATTGAAAATATCCATAATGAAACCTTCGCACATCCTTGAAACACCTTTGACTCCATGGAAGTGGATGGATGAATGGGATTTCATGCATGACTTTAAAAGATAGGTAGAGAATTAAAATACAATATGTTAGATAGTAATTTATATGGAGTATTAAGAGAAGGGTTGATAGAAGTGCTTACAGACTTGGAAGCATTGGATTATATGTACTCAAAAAGCTAATAATTGTATAGATATTAATTAAGATTTTTTTTTTTTTTTTTGTTTGGGTGCCCTGATAGACTAATCCTCCTATCAAGAAACCAATGGAAGCATTAGAAAGCAAGAAGAACAAGATCAGAAATGGGGAAAAAGAAGTGAAAGGGCTTACAACAGAATTGTGTTCTCTCTCTCACTCTTTTTCTCTGCACTTTTACAGTAACGAAAGAAGAGTTTATATATCACTTCTAACAAACTAGACAAACTAACTCTTAGCTATTCTAACAGATGGTTGTTGAGCTCAGAAGTTAGTTTGCTGATTTGGTTGTCAGTTGTGTTGGATGGTGATTTTGCTGATGATTGAGCATCTGTTGATACCCCGGAGTGTACAGACAATGTAAACCCAGCTTGAAAAAAGAATTAACAGCAAGAGGCTTAGTAAATACATCAGCCAGTTGGTTGGTGGTGATGACATGTAATAATTTCAATGTGTCTCTGCAGCTTCTTCCTTACAAGATGGCACTGTATTTCAATGTGCTTAGTCCTCTCATGGAAGACTGGATTTTCAGCTATTGCTATAGCTGATTTGCTATCATAGTACGACATGGCTGGGGAATCAACGTTGACCTCTAGGTCTTGTAGCAGATAGACTAGCCATTGGATTTCACATGCTGCAGATCCAAGGGCTGTATACTCATCCTCAAATGAGCTTCTGGATATGGTATGTTTCCTTGACTTCCAAGACACCAAGGTTTTATCAAGGAATATGCAGAAACCAGTTACAGACTTTCTAGTATCTAGGCCTGCAATCCAATCAGAATCAGAGAAGCCTTTGATCAATAGAGATGATGATGTTGAGAGGAATAGACCTTGGCCAGGGGCTGCTTTGACATATCTCAGCACCCTGTGTGCAGCCTGCAAGTGTTCATCAGTACGACAATCTAGGAATTGAGGTAATTGTTGTGTAGCATAGCATATATCTGGCCTTGTGATTGTCAGATACAATAATTTCCCTACCAGCCTTCTGTATTGAGTAATATTCTGAAGTGTGTTGCCAGTGGTTCTACTGAGTCTGGATGATGTTGCCATATGAGTTTTGGCTGGTTTACATTCCAAGAAGCCAGCTTCTTCAAGCAATTTCAGGGTGTACTTTCTTTGAGTTAAATTGATCCCTTTGCTATTTTTAGCCACTTTCAATCCTAGGAAGAATTTTAGAGGACCTAAGTCCTTGATGTGAAATGCATCATCCAGATGTTTCTTGACTACTTGTACTTGGTTTATGCAAAGACTGGCAATAACCATATTGTTAGGAATATAGCGGAATAATGCGGAAGCGAAGAATCAAAAATTGAGAATTATAGAAGTTAAATAATAGGGAAAATATATATAAAAGACAAATGAATAATTAACAAGGGAAAATACAATATATATATATATATATATATATATATATATATATATATATATATATATATATATATATATACATATACACGTGAGAGTAGCTAAAAGAGAAAGAAAGAAAGAAAGAACTCAATTTAATGGATATTGATGTAAGAGGTATATTACAAATGTAAATATCTACACTATTTATACAATTCAAATGAAGAGAAAAAAGGGGACATGCAGACGTGTGAAGCGGAGATCTTTGCACTACATGCAAGAGAAGATGCCAGTGCATGCGATGTGGACAACAATTTGGTGGAAGACTAATTCTTCATGGATTTGAGGCATCAAATGTATTATTATTTTCTAACAATCTCCACCTTGGATCAAATCCATTGTGGAAATCAACAACTGGAACAGTCAACTAAACTCAAGCACTGCTTGAACTTAGCAATAGGAAAAACTTCAGAATAGCAGGATGGATCACCATTAACTTCCTATGCGACTGAAAGAGCATAAGCAACCATATTGGTTTCATCATCACTAGCGCACCTAGCAGGTTTTTTAATTGTCCTCCTAGGACGATCCGTAGCAATGGAATACTCTCGTTGTGGCTCGACGAGAGGTGCGGTGCTAGTAGATGGATCAGACATCGATGAGGATACCGCAACTGAACCTGTCATAGTACTGCCATGCAAGACGTACAAGCTTCCAGAATGAGAAACTTTCATGAGAACAAAAGAGCCTTTGATGACCTTTAGAACTCCACCTTCAGCTGTGTACTTGCACCCCAGAGATTCCAAGGTGCCCAATGATATCAGATTGCGTTTCAAATCAGGAATATACCGAACATTGGTAAGAGTCCTGACAACGTTATCATGAGTTTTAATCTGAACACTTCCAATTCCACTAACCTTGCATTGGGTATCATTACCCAGCAAGACAACATCACCATCAACCGGTTCCAGAGAGACGAACCAGTCTTTGTGAGGACACATGTGGAATGTACAACCAGAGTCCAGAATCCACTCGGTTTCGCTCCGTTTGCAACCGGAGGTAACAGATAACATAACATCGCCTTCTGAATCACTTTCAACAACACTAGCTTCAGCGGACTTATTTTCTCTTTCTTGCTTGTTTTTCAACTTGAAGCATTCAGTCACATCATGACCATGCTTCTTGCAGTACTTACATGATTTGTTGGACTTACGTCCTTTGGACTTGGATCTAGAATTTTTATTGCTACTCCCTGATTCAAATGAACGACCCCTTACGGTCAAACCTTCACCTTTGTCCTCAGACTTAATTTCAAAGTCAAACTTTTCTTTGGATAATAGGTTTGACTTAACATTGTCGAAAGTAAGGGTATCACTACTATTACCATACAACATAATTTCTTTGAAATGCTTGTATGAATTAGGGAGAGAGACAAGCAATAAAATAGCACGATCCTCATCTTCAATTATGACATCAATATTTTCCAAGTCCAATAAAATATAATTAAATTCATCCAAGTGAGATTTAATAGAAGTACCTTCCGTCATACGGATTATGTACAGACGCTCCTTCAGGCGTAGCGTGTTTGCCAGAGTTTTGGCCATGTAAAGCGTATCCAGCTTGGACCATAAATATGACGCAGTCGTCTAACTTAATACCTCACGTAGAACCTCTTTAGACAGGCACAATTGATTGGTTGAACGTGCCTTGTCATCCAAATCTTCCCAATCTTCACCTGTCATTGCAGCCGGTTTCTTCTTCTTCCCAGCTAGCGCTTTCTTCAAACCGTTCTGGGTTAGAATGGCTTCCATCTGAACCTTCCAGATAGAGAAGCTAATTTTCCCGTCGAACTTCTCGATATCGAACTTAGTGACAGTCGACATTTTTGAAAATAATTCTCAAATAAACCGCTCTGATACCACTTGTTAGGAATATAGCGGAAGCGAAGAATCGAAAATTGAGAATTATAGAAGTTAAATAATAGGGAAAATATATATAAAAGACAAATGAATAATTAACAAGGGAAAATACAATATATATATATATATATATATATATATATATATATATATATATATATATATTTATATGAATATACGTGAGAGTAGCTAAAAGAGAAAGAAAGAAAGAAAGAATTCAATTTAATTGATATTGATGTAAGAGGTGTATTACAAATGTAAATATCTACAATATTTATACAATTCAAATGAAGAGAAAAAAGGGGCATGCAGACGTGTGAAGCGGAGATCTTTGCGCTACATGCAAGAGAAGATGCCAGTGCATGCGATGTGGACAACAATTTGGTGGAAGACTAATTCTTCATGGATTTGAGGCATCAAATGTATTATTATTTTCTAACACATATCATCAACATATACAAGTAAGGCTATAAAGTCATTACCTTTGTCTTTTGTGAATAGAGAGGAATCAGATACAGCTTGTTTAAATCTCATGCTCAGAAGTTCTTGGGTCAGCTTCACATTCCACTACATACTAGCTTGTTTTAGTCCATAAAGGGACTTGACTAGCTTGCTGATGTTATCACATCTGTGCATGTTTTTATAGCTTTTTTGATTCATTTTAGAAACAAAGTTATTGAATCATGACCATTTATTACTTGTTTTCCTTGCTTTCTCGTTAGATTATGTTTTTACACTTGTTTTGAATGCCTTACGGTGTTCGGTAGTGTTTTTCTTCACCATTACAGGGTGAGCGTGAGAGCAAGGGAAGAATTACAAGCACGAAATGATCAAAAGAGGAAGAAGTCGAAGCATCAGCAATTCGACGCGTCGAGCCCATGCCTCGACGTGTCAAAAAATTCCAGTAGCTTCAAACATCGCACATTTTGGAGGCTCGACGCGTCGAGATCGCGGAGAGACGTTAATTTGGAAGACTCCTAAATTGATGCCATCGGGTTTCTACTATAAAAAGATCATCTTCTATCAACCCTAGGGTCTGCTTCTTCTGCGATTTCGGTGTTTTGAAGGCAATCAAGAGCAAAGCACAAAGAGGACCAACTTGAAGATTTACAACTAGCTTTGGAATAGAGAACTAGCTAGAAAGATTCGGGAGAACTCTTTCACTCTTACTCTTATTCTCGTTGTTATTTGTTTATCTTTAAGCATTGAATTTACTGTTATTATGTCCATGAGCGGCTAAATTCCTTAGGGGTTTTTGGGTGAATTTGTTTATGAACCTATGTGCCTTGTTCGTTAATTTCTTAATATATTTATGTTTGGTTTTATGATTTGTGTTGCAGTCTTGTCTTAACCTGTTGTTGTTGGTAATTAAAGGCCTAAATTACTAGCTTCATAGTCATATTTGTGTCACCAATGGGAATTTGGGCATAAATTAGGGCACACACGATTGCACCTAATAGTTAGACCTTGGGAAAGGGGAATTTATTAGGGGAAGTTAATTCTAGATTGTTGCTCATCGGGAGATGGTAGTAATTAGGAATAATTGAATGCTGATCTTCGATCTTATCGGGTGTTTAAGCCACGGGAGTGGAAATTCACTAGGAATAGAGATTACGGGAGTAATTCGATTCCACTTTGCATTCCCACACAGATCTTAATTCCAAACCAAATATTACAAACGTTAATTGGCACTAGGTGATTAAACATTGTGATCCCAAGAATCCCATTTTGCTCTATTGCTTACGAAACCTTAATATTTGTTTTATTTCTTGCTCGTTATTTTATGCAACCAATCAACCATCAAGTTTCGATCAGACTAGCTCGTATAAGTAAGCGAGTAATTAGTGATTAGTACCCCATCTTCCTGTGGTTCGACAACCCGAATACTCCGGGTATTATTTGTTTGCAAATATACTACGCATCACTTGCACACTTGATCTGATTTTGCTGATGTGAAACTAGGGGGCAATGTCATGTAGACTTCTTCATTTAAGTCTCCATGTAAAAAAGCATTATTTACATCTAGTTGGTGAAGAGTCCATCCTTTGATTGCAGCCACAGCAAGTAGGACTCTGATTGTTGTTATTTTTGCCACAGGACTGAAAGTATCTAGATAATCTAAGCCAGGTGTCTGAGTGTATCCTTTTGCCACAAGTCTGGCCTTGTGTCTTTCAATAGTACCATCAGCCTTTAGTTTAGTTTTGAACACCCACTTCCATCCTATAGGCACCTTGGAAGGAGGGAGGTCAGTTAGGATCCAAGTATTGTTGGCTGTAATGCATTTATCTCTGACTACATGGCTTCTCTCTAGCATTCACTCTTGATTGCTTCATTGTAGGTCTTTGGCTCCCTGGCATTTAGAGTATTCATAGCAAAGACCCTATAGGCTTGTGAGAGATTATCATAAGACAGGAACTTTGAAATGGAATGTGGAGAAGTTCTGCTTATGATACTCTGACAAGCATAATCACCAAGGTAAGCAGGCTTGGTCCTTGCCCTTGTTGATCTTCTTGGCTCTGGTGGTGGATCTGTATTGCCTTGACCAACAGGAGGGACCTCAGATGTGCCTTGTGGAACAACTGGGGCTTCGATGGGAGGTAAGATAAAGACAAAAATTACATAAGCTTGAACATGGACCAGTCTTTGACCTATCCCATATTACATGAAGGGTGATTGGCATGAAAAATTATATCATGGATCATGGTTGATCTTGTATTGTTGATTTTAATACAAAATTACATTTAGATTATGTGTCTCAATTTTGTGTCAGGTTCAGTTTTGAAAAAAATAATAATAATATACAACACATATATGATATATGAACAATATATCTTATGACATTCCATTTGAAATGGTAATATATAGTAATGCGGTACTTGACATATAATGAGAATAATAATAATAATAATAATAATAATAATAATAATAATAATAATAAAAAAAAAAGATTGAAGATTTAGAGAATTAGAGATTTATCATTTTATGGAATTAGGGTTAACTAATTAAGAGAATAAGGTTAAAAATTGGTTCAAACTTGAGCATTTGCAAGTTACGTTGTTGCCAACTTTTCGGAGTGTTGAATGATTGGACGATGATCAATCGGTGGAGAAATGAGTTGAGTCGCTAAGAATCTAAGATGAACAGAGAAGATGGGATATGGGCGTGGTTGTGGTAGTGCGTAGTCGTGAAGGAGCCTAGGAAGCCAGAAACTTAAGGTTAAAGAATGAAGATGAATGAAAATGACGATGAAGATGAGTGAAAATGGTGGTCTCACACAATCACTAAGAAGCCTAGAAATTGTTAGGAATATATAGCTAGAAAAAAGATTATTTCCACAAAAATAACAAGCACAAAAAATGAAAGGAGAAAGGACTAGATTAACTTAAATCATGTAATACCCACACTATCTTTAAAATCTTATTTACTACATTCTAAAGGTGCTAGGAGTGTTGTAGCTTAAGTTTTTCAGGATAAAACAAGCTACGGTTTAATGTTTAAGCACTAGCTCTAACGAATAAACCTGGCGAACTAGAACACGGCTTTGAACATAGAAATGTTAAAGAGGAAATTGAGCTGAGTTTCGAAAGAAAAAGCTTGGATTTTCAGTATTGTAAAATCACCTGCTTAACCAAGGGCTTATATAGAAAAAATGAGGATAAATAATATTTAATCATGACATTAAAACTGATAATAAAATCAGTCATTGTAACCTTCATAACAGACAACCATTATTCTGAATATTTTTTTAATACCATTATTCTGGTTATTAATTCTAATAAAATTAAAAATTGAAATTAAGGTTAAGATACTTATTTTTATTATTAATGTAGATTAATTCTAATAAAATTCAAAATTGGAATTAAGGTTACGATACTTATTATTAATGTAGAGAGCACACAGTAGAAAAGGGAAAATGATAGAAGAGGTCCGGGATCCAGAGAAATACGACGTCGTTGCAAGGAATTCCGATTTCTGAAAATAAAACATCGCCGTTGCCGGGGATCGAACCCGGGTCACCCGCGTGACAGGCGGGAATACTCACCACTATACTACAACGACCGAATGCGTTTTCGTCTAACATTTATTCATTTTATAATCAAAGCATTTACAGATTAATGAGAAAAGAAAAGGAAAAGAAAGGGTATACTTAAATTAGATTTGGGCTTCTGCACATACATATAAAATAATTAAAACAGTTTAGTTGGGTCATATTAAACAAACTAACCGGGATAACTTGGGTTCGATTCCCACAAGTGACGATTCCCTTTGGGCCAGCTTCTGTGCCTCTCGGAGCGAACCGGGTGGACCTGGACCGTTAAACGGACAGAGAAAGACCCAGACCACAATGTGTGGTTGACACCAAAAAAAAAAAAAAAAAAAAAACAAACTAAAAAAAATTGACATAATCTTAAAATGATGTGGTTTTGAAACTATATAATTTTCTATAATAAGAACAATTGCTTCTATTATTCTCATGCGCATATTATGTTGTGCAAGTGCACCATGTATGATATACACGGTTGCAAAAACAACGTCGTTTTGACTAAAAACGAGCGTTCCATTTAAAAAAATAAATTAGGTTTGATTCACGACAATAGCATTTTTTTGTGTATAATTTAAATTATATATCCACAACTTCATAACTACATATCCACAAATTCATAATTATATATCCACAGTGAATGAATAACACAAAATCCAGAATGATTGAACTAAATATCTACAATGAATGAACTAAATATCCACAATGAATGAACTAAAAATTCACAATGAATGAACGTAATGCTATTGAGGGGAATTGAAACTGAATTTTTTTTTTTTTAAAATGGGACACGCGTTTTTAATCAAAACGACGTCATTTTGCAACCATGTGCACCATGCATGGTGCACACGGTTGCACAGCATAACTATTGATTCCCATGTTAGATTTGTCGTTGCCTTAATACATGATATAACAATTAAATTGGCATGTCCACATATGCAAAGCAGCCTAAGTATGCAATCGCATATGCATGCTAACCGTCGGGGTTAGCCCCTCATTTAGATCTCTAATAAGGATTAAGGGGTCTTGGATTAGTTGATGGTCTTTAGATCTTGCTCATCAATCTCCCTCCTCTACATCACCACTCTTAAAAGATTTGAAATTTCATTGGCTAATAAACCCACACGTACACCTACATATATATCCACAATGAAATAATAAAGTTCCTTTGGCTTGATATCTTATAAAGTTCCTTTGGCTTGATATCTTATAAAAATGATTTTTTTTTTAGGTGGCGTTTGGTTCACAGGATCTGAAATTACATCAGATAATAAAATTACTTTTTGAAATATAATATGAGATTTTGAGAAGATAAGATTACTTAGGGTGTGTTTGGTTCGCACATAGGAATCGGAATCGGAATGGATATCAAATACTTGGTAATGGTAATGGGTTTTGGTGAAAGTGTTTAACATGTTTGGTAGTAGGGTGGAATGGGAATGGTTACTAATAGTAGTGCTTGAGAATGAATAAGGGAATGAAACCCTTATCTTATTTGGGTATAGGTTTTTCAATTGATGCATGGGGTATTCAAAACCCATAGTAGTGTTCTAAAAACCTATCAACCAAACAACAACAATCACTTTCATACCCATTCCTATGGACAAAACCCACCAACCAAACACACCCTTAGTATGTTTAGTTTGCACGGTAGCTGATGGCGCCATCAAGACCCATTTTATTGGAAAAGTATTAATTCAAGGAGGTAGTGGTGAAGAAACAAGGTTGGCGCAAGTCTTGTTGGGCTAAGAAGACAAGCATGCATAATGATCCAAAACATACAAAGAAGGAGAGAGAAGAAGCCGCCCCGAGGGCCATGTAAGACTCATCGGACAACCGGCACTGGTGAATTTAGGTGCACGTACACCCTGGCTTGAATATGGAAAGGAAAAATAAATTAAATAGTAATTGCCATAGGGGGTGTCAAACTTACAACGAACCTCTGACAAGGTAACACAAGTACTAACCACCCAAGCTACTCAAATTTCATATACCAAAAGGCAGGATGCTCTATTTACCTATGCGAAGATTGTTGGCATCCAAGTAGTGTGGGGGATACATGTATGGCCTATAATGAAGGCAAGTTAGTGCTATACAATGTCAACCATTCGTGAGTTCTTCAACACTATAAATAGGATGCTTCGTCTCCTCTTTAGACATCGTGGTCTAGACATAACAACTATCCTAGGTTGATGGCTTGTGGTCTTGGCTTTCTGTATGGGTGTCTGGGTTCAATCCCCATGCCTACATTATTATTCTAGTCCATTATTTGGTTATAACGTGTATTGTTCATTTATTATTTGGGCTAGTGTTTCAAACTTTGTACGTACTTAAAATTATAATTATATATCCGATTTATGGTGGACCCGGTTCCAACAAAATCATAAATAGCTTAAAATTATAATTATATATTTGCAAATGGTGTCTCTTTTTTGAATTAATTCTTATTCTCACATATAAGCACTAAATTATTAGAAAAAAATAAATAAAATATTTATTTTATCCATATTTTTAAGAGTAAAATGTCTATTTATACATAAAGGAGAAAAATATTTATATTTTTATACATAAAGAAGAAAAGCAACTACTATACTTTTAAAATAATTGGGGAACTAATATAGACACATTAATAATTCAAAAAAAACGTTTAAATATATTTTTTTTTTGAATGCAAACGTTTAAATATATAATTCTTGATAAAAAAAAAAAAAATGTTACTTTCCTTTCATATTATAACAAATTGATCGATTTTGGATATAGCTTTAAATCTTATTCCAGAACATCCTTTTTATCATGGTCTAACCCATTCTTGATTATTCCAGAACAGGACAGATCATTCCTCTCTGATCTCCAAAAGCAGAAATATTCATTTTCATAAACCAGAAGCTTCTGGCAACTCCACTCCCTTCTCTCTCTCTCTCTCTCTCTCTATATATATATATATATATATATATATATACAACTTCATCTACTTGTGGAAGTCGACAATCAAAACCATCAAGCAATTAGCTTTAAGATCGAAGCATCATTTACCTAAATAAATGGATCTCAGGAACTTTGGCTTATCCAACTTCGGGTTAGAACCGCAGCTCCTCTCAACCATCCAAGACATGCTCGACTTCGCCGACGACCACGACAAGCCGGCCGGGCCCCACCAGAACAACCCATCCCGGGCCTACGTCCGGGACGCGAAGGCGATGGCAGCGACCCCGGCGGACGTGAAGGAGTATCCGAATTCCTACGTGTTCATCGCGGACATGCCGGGGGTAAAGGCCGCGGAAATCAAGGTCCAGGTGGAGGACGACAACGTTTTGGTGGTGAGCGGGGAGCGGAAGCGGGAGAGGGAGAAAGACGAGAAGGATGGGGTGAAGTATTTGAGGATGGAACGGAGGGTGGGGAAGTTTATGAGGAAATTTGTGCTGCCGGAGAATGCCAACGTGGAGGCGATAAATGCGGTTTATCAGGACGGGGTGTTGCAGGTGACGGTGGAGAAATTGCCGCCGCCGGAGCCGAAGAAGCCAAAGACAGTTGAAGTCAAGGTTGCGTAGGATCGGAGAAGAAAAAGTGGAATGCATATATGTATGTGTAATGTAATGTGTTTCACGGAGTAGAAAGCTTTGCTGCTTTAATTTGGTGTGTTTCTTATTACAGATGTGTTTTCTAACGTTTATGTAAAATGTGGTACTAAGATCTAAATATATTTGGGTTTTTGAAGAAACCTAAATATATCATTCCCATTTTGCGTTACGTTGGTTATGTTTTTCTTCTTTGGTTATGTTTTCACATGTTAGGTTTTTCAATTTACATTAATTATTAGGAATGTGATGTTTTGAAGAAAAATATAATATATTAAAGAGTTTTTAAATTTTATTTTTGGTTTTAAATTTATATGTAGTTGTTCACTTTTAGTCTTTTTTAATTATAAAACCTTAATTTGGTTATAGTATTATTATGACATGACTATATTTGGTTTAATACAGTTAAATATAATAATATCTTGATTTTTTTATATAAAGTTGATTGACCCATTATATTTTTATGTTTTTTTTTTTTAAAAAAAAACAAATCAAAGACCAAAATGCTCTTGTATTTAACGACATTTAAATTGTTTTGTTGATATATTACTAAAAATAAGCCTGCCAGAATAATATAGGACTAAATGAGAATTTATTAATAAAAAATAACTTAAAATGAACTGTCACTTATAAATCTAAGATCAACAATAAAATTAATTACTTATAAAGGAAACTATAATACTTATGACGAAGAGGGTAATATTTATAAAAAAATTATGATTCGTCTTATAGATAAAGATTTATGGGAAATTGACTGAAATGTACCAAAATCAACATACAATTCTCAAAATTTGACAGTTCGAAAAGGTGGACGATTTTAGGAAAAGGACGTTTGGGACTTGGGACTTGCGTTTGAGTTCAGAAACGCAAGTCCCAAATGCATTTGAAATTTTTTTTTTTTAAATGTTGATCATAAATGCAAATAGAAATTGCGTTTGATGTATTTTATACATCCGACTACTGCCGCCGCCAAACACAACACCCATCGCCGTCAAAATCACACCCTCGGTCATCTCCATGATGTCGCGGAGGAGCCATTGCGGGATGACACCAAAGGAAAATCAGCCTCCTATAGCCGAAGCTGGTCGCCGTCGTCGCCGGAAGGGAACGGAGGTCACCAGATCTTCTGCTCATCGGATCTGCTCTGCTTCTCCGGAAAATAGGGACCGCCGGAGGTAGCCGTTGCTGCTGGAGAAGTACGACGTAGCTATACCATCGTTCTACTGTCCGATATGCTGTTGTGCTCACCGGAGATGGAGGCTGGCGCGTCGACTGAGATAATTCCTTTGTTTCTTATTTTTCGGGATACGCTATGTGTTTGGGTCGATAGAGATTCAGATGAAAAGGAATGAGAGAGAAATAGAGAGTGAAAAACAGTTGTGTATTGCCAATTTGCAGAGCTCACAACAATAACCTCCACCACCGCCCCCCATTGCCGCCTGGATAATACATCAAACGCAAATGGAAATTGCGTTTGATGTATTTTATACATCAAACGCAATTCCCATTTGCATTTGTGGTCAGCATTTAAAAAAAAAATTAAATTTCAAATGCATTTGGGACTTGCGTTTCTGAACTCAAACGCAACTCTCAAACGTCCTTTTCCTAAAATCGTCCACCTTTTTGGACCGTCACATTTTAGAAATTGCGTGTTGATTTTGACACATTTCAGTCAATTTTCGAAAATTCATAAATTGATCTCATACGAGATTTTGCCTTGACTTAAAGTTTTATATTTTACACAAAAGAAATGGCAGAATCTTCTATGAAACTATGTCATGGATTATCCATCGTTAGATGAATCGTTTTACTTGTAAGTATTACAGTTGGGCATGAACTTAGCTTGGAAACACAGTAATATATATGATACTGCTAATTCTACGTAAGCAATATAAAATAAACTCGAGACCAATTAAAGCAAGTAAAAGACTTTATTGATCACGGTAAAGGCCCTAAGTACAATCTACTTGGTTGCTCTGAGTGCCGACTGACTGCGGTCGGGATTCTCTAGTAACAACCTATCGATCGTCCAAAAGTCCTCTACACTGTAGCTACTGTGGGTATTTATAGCCGCTGTGCCGGGGACAAGAATCCGGCCGTTCGGCATGTTCTCCACGTAGCCACCACGTGTCATCCTCCCGGGTGCCCTATCTGTCATCGTAAAGAGCTGCCACGTGTCCTTTGTCAGCTCTCTCGCCAAAGGGCTACCGCTCGGTGGTTAACACTACTGCTCGGGCAACTCCCGGTCAGACCCTGACCGGGTTCTTCACAAAGAGCCCGACCTGCTACTTGCAAAGACAAAAAGACAAAGACGAAGGCACCTCGGTCGTGGTAGAGCTATGGCGGTCGGGATATTCCCTATCAAAAGCCCCTCCAGCCCGGGCCTTTTTGACCGTCCAGGAAAAAACGGGACGGGATGAAGAAGCCCAAACGTCGGCCATCAAACCGACCGGCCAGCTGTCATTCCTTCCCTCGCCACGTGTCGGCCACTGCCGGCCTCGGCGACCGCAACGGTCGCCTCGGAATCAGTGCGGGTCATGTCACGCAAGTGGACTCGTTTTTCCGCCTAAATGCTCTCCTATAAATTGGCCCTTGAGGCCTTCATTTGAACTTTCTTCAATCCACTGAAGCAATCGGTACCCTCAGAGAGTCCCGAGCAGCAGTTCAGCGAACCAATCGAGCAAACCAAGCTTCAAGTTTTCTTCCAAGTCTCATCAACCGGTAAGCTCTTAATTCCTTATCTTTTTCTTTGTTCTTAACTTTGCGTAGGAATAGGATAGAACTAACTCCGAACTAACTTCCCGAACCCCGTACTAACCCCGACCGACCTTTAGGTAGAACCACATGTCGGACTCGGACAGCCAAAACGTCTCGGTCGCAGATTACGACCATGGTTTTGAGCAGATCAGCGACGAGGAGATAGAGATCATGTCCGATTCTCCCGAAATCGTTCAACGCCCGGGGAAGGCTCCCGAGCGAGCCCCCGAGCAGCAGGCATCCTCGAGCACAAGCGACTCTTCGGGATCGAGCTCGAGCGGTTCGGGAAACTTAGGCGGCGAGAGTGAGGTGATTAGAGAAACGCCCACCCGGGTGATAGGGGATCACCCGGAGACCGTTCTTCAAGGAGACGATCTGCCGGGCAGTAGCGAACCGGTCGATGAGGAGATGACCGAACCGGAGATCGGTAGGGATGACAGGTTTGAATATTTGAACAGCGAGAGTTTCGCCCAACAAATGAGCGAATTGACGCACGGAGAAGCTGCGCGGATGGAGGAAAGACTAAGCGGTCGAGTGGAGTTCGACACAAGTCGGCGGCTCGGGAATGTTATCGATCGTCACCGGGGCAAGTGGATTGGGATGCACTATGACTCCCTACTAGCCCCGGTCGTCTTCCCGTTCACCGCCATCTTGAACGCTTTCCTGGGCTACTACCAGGTCATGCCAGCCCAAATCTGCCCGAACTCGCATCGCATCATAGCATGCTTTCCGCAGATTTGTGCTCGGCATAAGGTACCCTGCACGATGGAGCTCTTCAACTATATCTATCAGGTGAAGGTCCTCTCGGGCAACTACGGAGGTGGGTTCTTGATGGTGCAATCCCGAGAGGGAAGATGCTCGATCGCAGGCCTGCCCGGGAACAACAAAGGGTGGAAAAGGAGGATCTTCTCGGTCAAGTACGACCCATGGATCCTCCCGATCGACAGAGTCTGGAGCACCCATTTCAGAAAACAAGTCACGCCGGTCGAGACCCCGGCTCTTCGGGAAGCTGCCGTCCGGATCTTAAACGAGATCCACGAATACAAGATCTTCCAATCGGCGGAGAGCCTCGAAGCCGCCCGGTTACCAGATCCGGTATATGATCTGAGAGAGAAGTATAAGCCCGTGCCGATGGGCGTGGTGGTAGCAGGTCCTCCTACTCGGGGTAAACGGAAGAAGACAGGTTTATCCTTGACTAACTCTCCCGCTCGTAACTCCCCGAGCAACGAATCTACTCCCGAGCTAACGTAGTTATTTCTTTTGCAGATATGGCGCCAAAACGCTTCAACAGCGGAGCTCCAAAATCTCCTCCCCGAACGAAGATAACTTTGGGGAAGAAGAAGACAACTGCTGGGTCTTCGGGAGGGGATTCCATCCCGGTTGCCCGACCCTTGTGCCCCATCCCGATCATCACCGACGAGGGTGGGGTCCTGGATGCCTCGGACACATTGGTCACCCGAGTGACCAGCAAGCCAAAGGGGCAAACAACGGAGAAAGCGGTCGAGGAAGCGGCCGGGAGCAAGAGGCAGAGGACGGAGAAGAGCCCGAGCCCAGTGGTCGGGTCTGCCATGGCTGATGCCTCCATACTATCTCGGATCGGCAATCTGACGTCGGTCGAGATAGACCTGACCAAGCTGAGCCCGACCCAACTGGCAGAACGGCTCGGTCGTGAGCTGGCCGAGGTAAGAGTTCTTCCTTCTTTTACTTTTGTATGAAGGACCTTCCATCGAGCTAACATGCCATACTCTGCAGGCATCTCGGATCGGGGCGGCCCTCCACGGCCAAGCGTTACTGGCCTCTGAGGCCATAAGGCTCAAAAAGGTCGCCGATCGGCGATTCAAGGAGCTGGAGGAGATGTCAGCCGAGCTGAAGAAGGCCGAGGAGGCGCTGAAGAAGGCTCGGACCGACCGGAGCGCCTTGTCGAAGGCGTTGCAGAAAGAGAGGGAGGCTCGGGAAGAGGCGGTCAAGAGGAGCACCGACCCGGCCGCCGCGATCGACTATTTCTTTCGGGAGGTCGAGCCCGGTATGGCCTTCGTTCGGCAAATGCGGAGAAACGCGGTTGCAGACGAGCTCTTCTGGTCCTTCGGCCACTGGGCCTACAACAGCGGTCAGAGGGACATGAGGGAGAGGACGGAGGCCAATATGCGAGAGGCACTCGAGGGCGAAGACCTCGAGCTAGTCTTGACCACCCTCCCGACTGAAGTCTCCGACCCCGGCCTGGACCCCTATGATCCCGAGATCGAGATCGTCGGCCCGAGCGGAGCTGCTGTTGAGAAGCCTGCCGACCCGGCCGCTGCCGAAGCCGTGAAGAAATGAGTCCTGCTGGTTTTATTTTTTCCTTTTGTAAACACTTAATCGGGAGCCCGGTCCCGAGTTGTACCGGGCACGTTTTGATTAAATAACAAACCCTTTTGTGTCTAAGCTGTGCCTTTCGTTTTTTGCTTTACGTTTTTATCTTCAACGCGCATATACCGATCGTAAGTGCTCGACCTCTCGGCCATTTAGCCCGGTCGTGCACCACTCACTCGATATCCGACCTTGTGGCCTTATGGCCCAGTCGTGCATCCAAGATTTCGACGTCTCATTGGCCTACCCGACCGAATTTATCCGATCCTGAGGCCTTGTCGAAATTTTGAGAATAGGTAAGCCTCCACGTTCGGGATATCTCCGAACAACGGACTTATGTCAACGTCACATTGGCCTTCCCGACCGCGGAGTAATTGCCCGGTCGCCATAGTGGATTCCCGGGAGACCGGAAAGAGGCAAAAGATGGAACCCATAACCTTCACCCTGGAAGATCAACCCAACAGTGGCGACCACGGCATGGAGGTGCTCGTGGTCACAATTGATGTGAAAGGGACGGATGTCCAGAGGGTTATGGTTGACACTGGCAGCAATGTGAACGTCCTTTATTTGGACGTGTTTGAAAAGCTTGGATTAGACAGGAAGGAGCTGACTCCGGTCGGTGTACCACTGTCTGGCTTTACCGGGGCTCTTATTTACCCCGAGGGAAAGATAACGCTCCCGGTCGAGATCGGCACAGCCCCGAAGTCGATCAAGACGGAGCTAGAATTCGTTGTGGTCAACCTCCATTGCGTCCACAACATTATCTTGGGCCGACCTGCCATTATGAAGATTGGTGGGATAATTTCAATGCCCCACCTATGCATGAAATTCCCCACCCCCAATGGGGTCGGTGTAGTTCGTGGCGATGTCCAATCCGCCCGGAAGTGTTACACCCGAGCGGTTAACAGACGCGATTCCGGTTCGTCTTCCCGGGTGAACACCATAGCCAAAGAGGAGGCTAAAGATCGGAAGGAACAACCTGAGCCTTCCGAGGAGATAGAAGAAGTTCCCCTATCCGAGGACCGACGGGATAAGAAGATTAAGATTGGCCGTGCCCTTACCCCCGAGCTCCGAGCAGAAATTTTAGCCATACTCCGGGAGTATGCCGATATCTTCGCCTGAGGGCCCGAAGACATGCCCGGGATCGACCGATCAGTAATTTGCCACAAGCTAGCCGTTGATCCCGCAGCAAAGCCGGTCGTGAAAAAAACCCAGCACCTTTCTTCCGATCGCCGCGAGTTTGTTAGAGAGGAAGTTAAGAAGATGGCGGCGATCGAGCACATCCGACCAGTGATCTATCCCGAGTGGGTGGCTAATATAGTTCTTGTTCCTAAGCCCCCAGCGTGGAGGATGTGCATTGATTTTACCGACCTCAATAAGGCCTGTCCGCTCGACCCGTATCCTCTGCCGAGTATTCACCAGATGGTCGACGAGACGGCCGGGGCCGAGTTAATGAGTTTCATGGATGCATTAAGGGTTATCATCAAATCATGATGCACCATGAAGATGAGAGCAAGACAGCCTTCGTGACCCCGGACGGGCTGTATTGCTACCGAGTGATGCCGTTCGGCCTTCGTAACGCAGGAGCGACCTATCAGAGAATGGTCAATATGCTCTTTGCCGATTTGCTGGGCCGAACGATGGAAGCTTATATTGATGACATGCTGGTCAAGAGTTGGGACCGATCCGACCACACTCGGGATCTCCGGGAGTGCTTCCAAATCATGAGGAAGTACCAGTTGCGGCTGAACCCGACCAAGTGTACATTTGCGGTTCAGACAGGCAAATTCCTCGGCTATATGATGACTAAGAGAGGAATTGAGCCCAACCCGGCGAAAGTGAAAGCGATTCTGGACATGCAACCACCTTCTACCGTTCGGGAAGTCCAGCAATTGACCGGTCGGTTAGCAGCCCTCAGCCGATTCCTCTCCAAGTTAGCCGAGCGCGCTTTACCTTTCTTCAAGGTATTGCGGAAGGTTAATGGATTCGTCTGGGACGAAGAATGCCGAGCAGCTTTTGATGAGCTGAAGGAATATCTCAACCTATCGATCGTCCAAAAGTTCTGACTTGACCGATCGGAGCGGTGATGAGAGCGCCGCTGATCTCTCCGATCGGTATTCCTCTTGGGGTCTTCTCTCCTCCCCACACACTTGTCCAACTTCCTAAGATTGAGCAAATCCTCCAATAGTTGGCGCAAGTGGGTACATTCTTCAGTGTCATGCCCAGCACATCGATGGTAAGCGCAATGCTTACTCTTGTCAGGACCATCTCGATCGGGATGGTGAAGCTTGATGAGATTGCAAGACTGGGCATACTGCATGGCCTCCGCTGCAGATCGGTTCAAGGCCGTAAACTCGCCAGGCCTGGTGCAGGATCGGGGATGGTCATCGCCCGATCGGTGTTCCGCCCGGCCGGCCGGTTTACGGGACGAGGACCCGACCTCCTGCGAACGCTTCACGGCATTCGCCTCGCCAGCATTGGCATAATCCGTGACCCTTCGAAGGGCCTCCTCATAAGTAGCCGGGGGATGTAAAATAAAATCTTGATATAAATACCCCGTCCGGAGAGAGATGTGTAGCATGTGGGTGGCGGTCGCATCATCCATGGGCTCGACCTCCCCGACCGCCGCCTTCCACTTGATGAGGAAGTCGGTCAAACTTTCGCCTTCAAGTTGCTTGGCCTTCTCCAGAAACATATAAGACTTCCTCACCACCTTGGAAGTAATAAACTTCCTCACGAACTTGATCCCCAGGGTGTCAAACCTGTCGATCGAACCCGGCTGCAAAGTTCGGAACCATTCCGCCGCCCGACCGGTAAGTGTGGAATAGAAAGCCCTGCACATTACGGCGTCTGACACACCCTTCAGCGTCATATTGCTGTAGAAGTCGTTAACGTGAGCCTCAGGGTCTGTTCGGCCATCATAACTCTTCTCTCCAGAGACCTTTAAATCAAGAGGGTAAGGCTGAGCCATCACCGCCGCTGTGAAAGGCGTCTGGTGTAGGGTCGGTTGTTCGACCGGGGGTGCTGCAGGGTGCACGTTTCTGAATTGCGCAAATTCCGCCTGGAGGTTATAGAGTAATCCTCGGGTCTCGTTGAGCTCGGCGGCTTGAGCGGCTTAGGCTGTATCCCGAGCGCGTCGCCGTCGATGAGATCTCGACCCGCTATACCCTGATGAAGCCTCCTGGCTGGCCTCCTGCATCTGTACGTCTTCTTGCTGGCGGTTCGGGTCTTGGGGTCCCAAACGCTGACGAATCTCCGGTCGAAGATGATCAAAAGCTGCCGCTCGGGCAGTTTCTTCGGGGTCCTCCGCGTGAATGGGAACCTCGGCCGCTTGCTGGGCCTGCTCTGGTGCCTCCATCGCATCAGCACCCCCCGACCCCAACCGCGAACGAGCCGAGCGTCGAGCCCGGGAAGCGGACTGACGCTGCGGCTCTACCTGTGCGGTCGGTTGTACTGGAGGGGCGGCGGCTGGAGCCGTGTAAGCAGGCGTATATGGTGGATACCCAACCGGGGGAGTATAATACATCGGTTGGCCAGGCCAATACCCGTACGGCGGAGGTGGGACCGGGTATGGATATTGGCCGGGATACATCACCGGCTGTTGCTGGTATGGCTGACCGGGTGTTGGGTACCCCGGTTGAATGTAGTTCATCGGTTGTTGGGCAACCGGGTATGTGTTAGACGGATGCGGTGGTGAGAGATTGAGATTCAATTCCACCGTCTGACCTTGCTGTTCGGTGGCATGGTGCCCAGATGAACTCGCTGCGTCCGCCTGGTCGTCGACGAAGTTGTTGTGAGCCCACGGATACATGATTGCAAAGAGACCGGGTGCTCGTCAAGACGATGCTTTCTCGCACGGGTCCCCACAGACGGCGCCAAAACGCTTCAACAGCGGAGCTCCAAAATCTCCTCCCCGAACGAAGATAACTTTGGGGAAGAAGAAGACAACTGCTGGGTCTTCGGGAGGGGATTCCATCCCGGTTGCCCGACCCTTGTGCCCTATCCCGATCATCACCGACGAGGGTGGGGTCCTGGATGCCTCGGACACATTGGTCACCCGAGTGACCAGCAAGCCAAAGGGGCAAACAACGGAGAAAGCGGTCGGGGAAGCGGCCGGGAGCAAGAGGCAGAGGACGGAGAAGAGCCCGAGCCCAGTGGTCGGGTCTGCCATGGCTGATGCCTCCATACTATCTCGGATCGGCAATCTGACGTCGGTCGAGATAGACCTGACCAAGCTGAGCCCGACCCAACTGGCAGAACGGCTCGGTCGTGAGCTGGCCGAGGTAAGAGTTCTTCCTTCTTTTACTTTTGTATGAAGGACCTTCCATCGAGCTAACATGCCATACTCTGCAGGCATCTCGGATCGGGGCGGCCCTCCACGGCCAAGCGTTACTGGCCTCTGAGGCCATAAGGCTCAAAAAGGTCGCCGATCGGCGATTCAAGGAGTGGAGGAGATGTCAGCCGAGCTGAAGAAGGCCGACGAGGCGCTAAAGAAGGCTCGGACCGACCGGAGCGCCTTGTCGAAGGCGTTGCAGAAAGAGAGGGAGGCTCAGGAAGAGGCGGTCAAGAGGAGCACCGACCCGGCCGCCGCGATCGACTATTTCTTCCGGGAGGTCGAGCCCGGTATGGCCTTCGTTCGGCAAATGCGGAGAAACGCGGTTGCGGACGAGCTCTTCTGGTCCTTCGGCCACTGGGCCTACAACAGCGGTCAGAGGGACATGAGGGAGAGGACGGAGGCCAATATGCGAGAGGCGCTCGAGGGCGAAGACCTCGAGCTAGACTTGACCACCCTCCCGACTGAAGTCTCCGACCCCGGCCTGGACCCCTATGATCCCGAGATCGAGATCGTCGGCCCGAGCGAAACTGCTGTTGAGAAGCCTGCCGACCCGGCCGCAGCTGAAGCCGTGAAGAAATGAGTTCTGCTGGTTTTATTTTTTCCTTTTGTAAACACTTAATCGGGAGCCCGGTCCCGAGTTGTACCGGGCACGTTTTGATTAAATAACAAACCCTTTTGTGTCTAAGTTGTGCCTTTCGTTTTTTGCTTTACGTTTTTATCTTCAACGCGCATATACCGATCGTAAGTGCTCGACCTCTCGGCCATTTAGCCCGGTCGTGCACCACTCACTCGATATCCGACCTTGTGGCCTTATGGCCCGGTCGCACATCCAATATTTCGACGTCTCATTGGCCTACCCGACCGAATTTATCCGATCCTGAGGCCTTGTCGAAATTTTGAGAATAGGTAAGCCTCCACGTTCGGGATATCTCCGAACAACGGACTTATGTCAACGTCATATTGGCAAACCCGATCAGGTTTACCCGATCTCTAGGCCTTGACGAAATTTTGAAAATGGGTAAGCCCCCACGGTCGAGTTTTTCCCGAGCGATGGGCCTACGGACACTTCCTTATCCCAGCCCCCACACTATTGTGCTCTCGAGGCACGAGTGAGTGCAATAGTGGAAAGAAGTTGATTAGATCGGGGAATCATGCTGTATGCTCCTGGCTTCCCCGATCAAATGGCGTGACCCGAATGTCCGCCGAAGAGGAGTGTATTTGACCGGTCGATAACTCGCTTCGGTTGATGTAACTTGATCTGCATGCACCAAAAGGTATAAAAAATAACTGACCGGGCCGCCGTATGCAAACGGTCGAGCAATCACCGATCATATATACATTAAACATTTCCGCTCACAGGCGGTTAACAAATATTTACAATAACATCTTTAATTACAAATGACGACCGGGACCAACTCGCAGGTCGAACCCCCACTTCGTCCAAAGATTACAAAAAATAGGCTAGTTCCTAAACATAACGAGGTGCTCGGAATTCCAAGTCCCCTCGATTATCCGACCGGTTGTCGTCTCCAGTCGGTATGTACCCGGTCGTATGATAGCGCTGATGATGTACGGCCCTTCCCAGTTTTGAGCTAGCTTTCCGCCTTCCAAAGGTTGACTGGCCTCCCTTCGTCGTAGAACGTAATCTCCCACCTGAAAATAACGAGGGTTGACCCGAACATCCTTCGAACTCTTGACCCGTTTCTGGTACTCAGCCATACGCCGAGCGGCTAGCTCTCTTTTTTTCTCGACCCCGTCGAGATCCACGACCATCGCATGTTCGTTCTCCTCCGCATTGTAAATTCTTTCTCGATCGGTCAGAATCCAAGCCTCGATCGGGAGTCGGGCTTCTGCTCCATAAACCAGGGCGAAAGGGGTCTCCAAAGTAGCTTCCCTCGGGGTCGTCCGATAAGTCCACAACACGTATGGCAACTCATCGGCCCAACTACGACCAGCCGAGTGTAGCTTCTTCTTTAGACCTTCCAAAATCGTCCGGTTAACGTTTTCCACTTGTCCGTTTCCCTGCGGGTAAGCCACCGACGACCGGACGTGGGTCGTCCCGATCGTGGCCAAGAAATTTTGAAAATATTGGCTCACAAATTGGCGGCCGTTGTCGCTAATGAGATGCACGGGCACACCAAAGCGGGAAATCACATTGCGCCAAAAGAACCGAGCACACTGCTGAGAAGTGATCGTGGCTAAAGGCTCAGCTTCGATCCATTTAGAAAAGTAATCAATGGCGACAATCACAAACTTTCTCCGACCGGAGAGCTGAGGGAAGGGGCCCAAGATGTCTACCCCCCACCTAGCGAAGGGAATTGCAGTCGTAACCGGCTGATAAAAAGTTGCCGGTCGTCCAGGCATCCGGGCAAACAGTTGGCACGTCTCACATTCCCGAGGTAACTTCTCACAGTCTAGCTGGAGGGACGGCCAATAGTACCCGATCAGCATGATACGACGGGCTAACGATCGGCCTCCTTGATGTGAAGAACAAATTCCCGAATGCAATTCCTTCATGACCAGATCAGCCTCAAATGCGGTCAAGCAACGCATAAGAGGTCCTCCGTACGATCGCCTGTAGAGACGACTGTCCAAGACTTGGAACCTTGGGGCTCTAAGCTTGGCCTTCTGAGCACGCTGTGGGTCGTCTGGGAGTCGACCGTGCTCGAGGTACTCCTTTAAATCGGTGATCCAATTATCTTCCACCGGTTGGATCGGATTGACCGGTAGACGATGGATGCTATGTCTCGGGATCACCAAAATTCGTGCTATCTTCGACATATGTTCCGGGGCGTCTTGAGCCAACTTAGACAAGATGTCCGCGTCGGCATTATCCAGTCGGGGTATGTGCCGGACGGCATGCCCCCGGAATTGAGCAAGCTTCTCCATGGCTAGGTCTCGGTATAGCTGTAGACGCTCTCCATTGACTTCATAATCTCCGAGAACCTGCCCGACCACGAGCGCAGAATCTGTTTGAGCTCGGATGTATTCAGCCCCCAAGTCCCGAGCGCACTGTAAGCCATTAACAAAGGCTTCGTACTCAGCTTCATTATTGGTCGGATGGAACTGATACATGAGAGCAAAATAGACTTTGAATCCCTCCGGGCTCGTGACCACCACTCCTCCTCCTGCCCCTTTCTTGCTACTTGACCCGTCAGTAGTCAACGACCACCACTCAGCCTCGAGATCCGCAACCTCGGGGGGTCGGGTATCCCGGGCGGTGCACTCGACCAAGAAATCAGCCAAAGCTTGACCCTTGATGGCTGGTCTCGGTCGGTATTCGATCGCGTACTAGGTCAGCATCAACGCCCACTTGACTAGGCGACCGGATGATGAGGCGGTTCGGAGGACTGGGCCGATCGGCTGATCGGTCAACACGCGAATTGCTCGACCCTGGAAATAGGGTGCCAACTTCTTCGCGGCAATGTATAATGCGTAGACGACTTTCTCTAACCGGGAGTACCGGAGCTCAGGACCATGTAGCGCGTGGCTTACATAGAACACCGGTCGCTGGACCCCTTCCGGATCGGTTCGGCACAATACTGCGCTTACTGCACGATCGGAAACGGCGAGGTATACGTCTAGCTCTTCTCCGAGCTCGGGCTTTGAGAGCACGATTGGTGACATGAGATATTCCTTCAGCTCATCAAAAGCTGCTCGGCATTCTTCGTCCCAGACGAATCCATTAACCTTCCGCAATACCTTGAAGAAAGGTAAAGCGCGCTCGGCTAACTTGGAGAGGAATCGGCTGAGGGCTGCTAACCGACCGGTCAATTGCTGGACTTCCCGAACGGTAGAAGGTGGTTGCATGTCTAGAATCGCTTTCACTTTGGCCGGGTTGGGCTCAATTCCTCTCTTAGTCATCATATAGCCGAGGAATTTTCCGGTCTGAACCGCAAATGTACACTTGGTCGGGTTCAGCCGCAACTGGTACTTCCTCATGATTTGGAAGCACTCCCGGAGATCCCGAGTGTGGTCGGATCGGTCCCAACTCTTGACCAACATGTCATTAATATAAGCTTCCATCGTTCGGCCCAGCAAATCGGCAAAGAGCATATTGACCATTCTCTGATAGGTCGCTCCTGCGTTACGAAGGCCGAACGGCATCACTCGGTAGCAATACAGCCCGTCCGGGGTCACGGAGGCTGTCTTGCTCTCATCTTCATGGTGCATCATGATTTGATGATAACCCTTGAATGCATCCATGAAACTCATTAACTCGGCCTCGGCCGTCTCGTCGACCATCTGGTGAATACTCGGCAGAGGATACGGGTCGAGCGGACAGGCCTTATTGAGGTCGGTAAAATCAATGCACATCCTCTACGCTGGGGGCTTAGGAACAAGAAATATATTAGCCACCCACTCGGGATAGATCACTGGTCGGATGTACTCGATCGCCGCCATCTTCTTAACTTCCTCTCTAACAAACTCGCGGCGATCGGAAGAAAGGTGCCGGGTTTTTTGCACGACCGGCTTTGCTGCGGGATCAACGGCTAGCTTGTGGCAAATTACTGATCGGTCGATCCCGGGCATGTCTTCGGGCCCTCAGGCGAAGATATCGGCATACTCCCGGAGTATGGCTAAAATTTCTGCTCGGAGCTGGGGGGTAAGGGCCCGGCCAATCTTAATCTTCCTATCCGGTCGGTCCTCGGATAGGGGAACTTCTTCTATCTCCTCGGAAGGCTCAGGCTGTTCCTTCCGATCTTTAGCCTCCTCTTTGGCTATGGTGTTCACCCGGGAAGACGAACCGGAATCGCGTCTGTTAACCGCTCGGGTGTAACACTTCCGGGCGGATTGGACATCGCCACGGACTACACCGACCCCATTGGGGGTGGGGAATTTCATGCACAGGTGGGGCATTGAAATTATCCCACCAATCTTCATAATGGCGGGTCGGCCCATGATAATGTTGTGGACACAGTGGAGGTTGACCACAACGAATTCTAGCTCCGACTTGATCGACTTTGGGGCCGTGCCGATCTCGACCGGGAGCGTTATCTTTCCCTCGGGGTAAATAAGAGCCCCGGTAAAGCCAGACAGTGGTACACCGACCGGAGTCAGCTCCTTCCTGTCTAGTCCAAGCTTTTCAAACACGTCCAAATAAAGGACGTTCACACTGCTGCCAGTGTCGACCATAACCCTCTGGACATCCGTCCCTTTCACATCAATTGTGACCACGAGCGCCTCCAAGCCGTGGTCACCGCTGTTGGGTTGATCTTCCAGGGTGAAGGTTATGGGTTCCATCTTTTGCCTCTTCCCGGTCTCCCGGGAATCCACTATGGCGACCGGGCAATTACTCCGCGGTCGGGAAGCGTCTTCCAATCCACCAAAAATGACGTGGATGGTCGGCTTTCCTGCTGGTCGGCTGCTAGATGGAGGGTCAGGGTCCCGTCGGTCATCGCGACGATCATCTCTTCGATCGTCTCTTCGGTCCTGACTTGACCGATCGGAGCGGTGGTGAGAGCGCCGCTGATCTCTCCGATCGGTATTCCTCTTGGGGTCTTCTCTCCTCCCCACACACTTGTCCAACTTCCCAAGATTGAGCAAATCCTCCAATAGTTGGCGCAAGTGGGTACATTCTTCAGTGTCATGCCCAGCACATCGATGGTAAGCGCAATGCTTACTCTTGTCAGGACCATCTCGATCGGGATGGTGAAGCTTGATGAGATTGCAAGACTGGGCATACTGCATGGCCTCCGCTGCAGATCGGTTCAAGGCCGTAAACTCGCCAGGCCTGGTGCAGGATCGGGGATGGTCATCGCCCGATCGGTGTTCCGCCCGGCCGGCCGGTTTACGGGACGAGGACCCGACCTCCTGCGAACGCTTCACGGCGTTCGCCTCGCCAGCATTGGCATAATCCGTGACCCTTCGAAGGGCCTCCTCATAAGTAGCTGGGGGATGTAAAATAAAATCTTGATATAAATACCCCGCCCGGAGAGAGATGTGTAGCATGTGGGTGGCGGTCGCATCATCCATGGGCTCGACCTCCCCGACCGCCGCCTTCCACTTGATGAGGAAGTCGGTCAAACTTTCGCCTTCAAGTTGCTTGGCCTTCTCCAGATACATATAGGACTTCCTCACCACCTTGGAAGTAATAAACTTCCTCACGAACTTGATCCCCAGGGTGTCAAACCTGTCGATCGAACCCGGCTGCAAAGTTCGGAACCATTCCGCCGCCCGACCGGTAAGCATGGAATAGAAAGCCCTGCACATTACGGCGTCTGACACACCCTTCAGCGTCATATTGCTGTAGAAGTCGTTAACGTAAGCCTCAGGGTCTGTCCGGCCATCATAACTCTTCTCTCCAGAGACCTTTAAATCAAGCGGGTAAGGCTGAGCCATCACCGCCGCTGTGAAAGGCGTCTGGTGTAGGGTCGGTTGTTCGACCGGGGGTGCTGCAGGGTGCGCGTTTCTGAATTGCGCAAATTCCGCCTGGAGGTTATAGAGTAATCCTCGGGTCTCGTTGAGCTCGGCGGCTTGAGCGGCTTGGGCTATATCCCGAGCGCGTCGCCGTCGATGAGATCTCGACCCGCTATACCCTGATGAAGCCTCCTGGCTGGCCTCCTGCATCTGTACGTCTTCTTGCTGGCGGTTCAGGTCTTGGGGTCCCAAATGCTGACGCATCTCCGGTCGAAGACGATCAAAAGCTGCCGCTCGGGCAGTTTCTTCGGGGTCCTCCGCGTGGACGGGAACCTCGGCCGCTTGCTGGGCCTGCTCTGCTGCCTCCATCGCATCAGCACCCCCCGACCCCAACCGCGAACGAGCCGAGCGTCGAGCCCGGGAAGCGGACTGACGCTGCGGCTCTACCTGTGCGGTCGGTTGTACTGGAGGGGCGGCGGCTGGAGCCGTGTAAGCAGGCGTATATGGTGGATACCCAACCGGGGGAGTATAATACATCGGTTGGCCAGGCCAATACCCGTACTGCGGAGGTGGGACCGGGTATGGATATTGGCCGGGATACATCACCGGCTGTTGCTGGTATGGCTGACCGGGTGTTGGGTACCCCGGTTGAATGTAGTTCACCGGTTGTTGGGCAACCGGGTATGTGTTAGACGGATGCGGTGGTGAGAGATTGAGATTCAATTCCACCGTCTGACCTTGCTGTTGGGTGGCATGGTGCCCAGATGAACTCGCTGCGTCCGCCTGGTCGTCGGCGAAGTTGTTGTGAGCCCACGGATACATGATTGCAAAGAGACCGGGTGCTCGTCAAGACGTTGCTTTCTCGCACGGGTCCCCACAGACGGCGCCAAAATGATACTACTAATTCTACGTAAGCAATAAAAAATAAACCCGAGACCAATTAAAGCAAGTAAAAGACTTTATTGATCACGGTAAAGGCCCTAAGTACAATCTACTTGGTTGCTCTGAGTGCCAACTGACTGCGGTCGGGATTCTCTAGTAACAACCTATCGATCGTCCAAAAGTCCTCTACACTGTAGCTACTGTGGGTATTTATAGCCGCTGTGCCGGGGACAAGAATTCGGCCGTTCGGCATGTTCTCCACGTAGCCACCACGTGTCATCCTCCCGGGTGCCCTATCTGTCGTCATAAAGAGCTGTCACATGTCCTTTGTCAGCTCTCTCGCCATAGGGCTACCGCTCGGTAGTTAACACTACTGCTCGGGCAACTCCCGGTCAGACCCCGACCGGGTTCTTCACAAAGAGCCTGACCTGCTACCTGCAAAGACAAAAAGACAAAGACGAAGGCACCTCGGTCGTGGTAGAGCTATGGCGGTCGGGATATTCCCTATCAATATACAATTTTAAAAATCTTGATCAATTTCTTGCGAGATATTTTCAAGAAGCAAAATCTTCCATGAGTCCGTCTTACATATATTTATATGTAAGGCAGCTTAAATTCTTTGAAAGCATTGTATTTTATAACTATTACACTTTTTTACTGAGTAATTCTACAATCCCTAATTATTATAGAGTGCATTTTAATTTAAAAGTATTACATTGTACCTCAAATTAAACAATCACATTTTTTCTTTATAAGTACTCCCTCTGTCCCGAATTGGTTGTCAGATTTGATTTTTGCACACTTTTAAGAAACTAAACTAAATGCTATGTTTTTGCTAAAATAAAAAGTAAATGCTATGTGTTTTACAATTACGCTCCTCACTTTTGGAAATAAAAGCAACAAAGAATGCAAAACTCATAAAGGTAAATTCAGAAAAGTAGAATGATGGTGATGTTTATTTATTTATTTATTTATTTTTAAATGACAACATTTTGAGACAAACTAAAAATGAAAGTAAGACAGATAAAATGGGAGGAAAAATTATTACACTTTCTCTTATAAATAACAATCAATTGATCAATGATTAATATTATATTTTTCCTCATAAGTAATAACCAATCAATTTATCTTGATTAATACGTATTATATTTTTTCTTATAAATAACTCTTCAATTTATAAATATTATATTTTAATTTAAAGCTATTATATTTTTTTATTAAAAATATTTCTTCATAAATACGTATTATATTTACCTCATTAGTAACAACTAATTTATCTATAAGTAGTAACAGTCATTGCAGTCATTGGAGTAAGAAATGGAATCCCTGTAAGTATTAGTACATAAATTATTATAATTATTTATAGGGATGAAGATATTCAATAATCAGTACATTTGCATTGTGTATATATTGGTATTTTTTTTTATTGAATATTACTAATTCTATTACATTGTAGTATTTATTTATATATTTTTTTAATTTTTTAAAATATAAAGAGTCAACAACGTTTTTATTGAGACTCAATTTCATGAAGTCATTATATAGCGAAATCATATAATTTGAACAAAGTCGCAGATTTCTATTTAAATTGCAACTAATAAAAAGTTGTGTTTCTCTTCTTCTTTTTTTTAAGTTGTGTTCTAGCACATTCTAGACTTGTTTAGAAACTGAACCCGGTCCAAGCTAGCATTTTTGTCGATCCCAGAACCTGCTCGAAACTTCTTCTTCTTCCTACATAAATCCCAATCTCGTCGGCGTTTCTTCATCACGTCAGAAAACATTTTTAATTTCAATTAGCGAAATTCCACAAAACACACTGTTGAAGAAATGGATTTGAGGTTGATGGGTTTCGATCACCCGCTTTTCCACCCGCTCCACCACATCGTGGACTACGCCGGCGACGACAAGTCATCCAACAGCAGCGCGCCTTCTCGGACGTTTATGCTCGACGCCAAGGCAATGGCAGCCACCCCGGCGGACGTGAAGGAGTACCCAAACTCGTACGTCTTCATCATAGACATGCCGGGGCTGAAGTCCGGCGACATCAAGGTTCAGATCGCCGACGAAAACGTGTTGAGTATTAGCGGGGAGCGGAAGCGTGAGGCGGAGGAGAAGGAGGGGGCGAAGTATGTGAGGATGGAAAGGAGGGTGGGGAAGTTAATGAGGAAGTTTGTGCTGCCGGAAAATGCAAATAAGGAGAAGATCACGGCGGTTTGCCAGGATGGGGTGTTGACGGTGACGGTGGAGAAGCTGCCGCCGCCGGAGCCGAAGAAGCCAAGGACCATTGAGGTCAAAATTGCTTGAGATTAGCATATGACTGCTCTGTTTCCTTTGCGTTATGAATAATATAATTTCTCTTCAAATGTGATGACTCAGTATGTATGTTGGAAGGAGTTTCTGTTGGTTTTAATTTCAAATTATCATTTACTATGTAATGTTTAAGACCGTGTGACACAAAATGAATGCACAAGTTTAACTCTCATGCTCAAATCTTGTTTTTCTTTGTTGTATCACAATATCCGATCAAGTTGCACAAGTACTTAATCAGTTAATCTTCTATATTTTTTTCTAGAGCTTGATATTAGAATCAATACAATCACATAAAGTTGCTAATTTGCCAATTCCCACTAACGGCGTAATTTTTTGTGTAGGTACAAGATGAGTGCGTGAAGAGTTACTTATTATTTATGAAATTATAAAAACAATTATAAGAACTCTACATAATAACATGAAGTGTGAAAGAGTTGCTCGATTATTTAAGAAATTATAAGAACTCTACATAACAACATGGAGTGTTGATCACTCAATCAATGAATTGTATATTTACAAAGGAATTGGTTACAAAAGTTGGACTCAATAAGATAAAAATAGGGACTCGAACAACTTCTAGATGCTTTAATTTAAACTAATGATTATGGGTATACAAGTCTAAGTTGAGTTAGGGCAAAAGATGAAAATGTACATAAGAACTACAACATAAACTCCTTTTAGGAGTTGTCTACTCAGAGCCGAACTGCAATAACTCAAAATTTTATTTTATAAATTCGATTTTTAAGAAATTTTAAAATAGTCATTTTCACTCTATAAAAAAAAATTGTGATAAAATTAGTGTTTGAATAAATTATTTTGAACTACTTTTAAATAAATTCAACGCCGGGACTTATTTTATATCTAAAATTCTAAATCTTCGAGCACATTGTGTACTTAGTTTTTTATCCGAAAGTTAATCTGAGTGAAATCGGGAGAAACCTGAGAAACCTAAACTAAGTGGTTGTCTAGAATGTATTTTTAGAAAAATTATATTTTGACCCCCAAACTATTTAAAATCACCTTTTAGACTATGATCCATGATGCAAGGTGAGCCATAAACTTTCTACCAAAAATCTTTGTCTGGTATTTATTGAGCAAGTCAAATTACCATCCCACCTTCAACCAATCATTGTCATTTCTCCTAGGATTTTGTACCCATATATTCAACATCCCTTACTTTCATCTGATCCATCTCTTTGCCCCTCCATTCCTTTGAGCTTTGTAAAAGAAGAGAAAACAACATAGTAAACATTTTTCTAAGCTCTCATCTCATCCATTCATCTTTTTGTTAAGATTTTCATCTTCTTGCCTTCAATCTCTAAGGCTGTCTTAAGTCTAGTATGTATCTATGTTTGTTTGAGGAAATAGGTGGTGAAGGAAGGTAACATCTGAGGAAGGAAAGGTAACCACACAAGAGAAAGAAGAGGAAACAACAAAGGTATAACCCCATGGACTCCCATTTTAAGTTTTGGCTCTGTGAAGCCTTGTTTCATAGGTAGAAATGAGTAGAAATGCTAGATTTTTGAAGTGTTTGAGTTATGAAGTGATTTATTACTTGTCTATGATGTGTTGTTGATGTTTTGGATGTGTTAGAATTGTCTAAGGTTGAATATTTGAATTGTTTGTTGAATGGTTGTTGGACTGTTGGTTTAGTTTATGCTGCTGGACTGGACTGCTCTAAATCCTAATGCTGCTGATTTTATATTGAAAGATTTGTTCTTTATATAGAATGAAATTAAATCTTTGAAAAAATGAATGTTGGGTTGTTAGAAGGAATTCTATGGTTCATAGACCTTATACTTCTTGTATATGTGGATTTATTGTTTGCTGCATCTGCAAATTAAAACTACTGATTCTGCATTTTCTTTGGGTGCCATGAAAGTTGAAATTATCAGTGGCAATCGAGGTAAATATGGTAGCCCATTGTTGGAGTTTTAATTTATTACCAAGCTTTTTGGCAATGTGATTTCTAAAGAACTTGAAAGACACTGAATTGAAGTTAATTGATTTCCACTTTCTAGTACATGAAGAGATTAGAGATGATTGGCATTTGTTTCTTTTTCCTCCAAATTCTTTTGACCACTAACAAGGAATATTGCTTTAAAGTTTTATAATGCTTTACTGTTTATCACGGGCAAGCAGTACCATTTAGTTGCTTATGTTAATATTCAGTAGTTCATCATAAATCTTATATTGTAATTTATAATGTATTTTATATTTTAACAATCTTATTATTTGAATCTCGTATTTGAACATTTTTTTAAGTTTATTTTCCCTTTGCTTCTTCGCCCCTACTCAAGATAAATCCTGCCGCATGCACATGTTCTATATCGTGATATACTCAAAATTAATCTATATAATTTAAAGAAAGTTGTCAAGTAGAAAAGGATATTACATACAAGTTGGAAGAAGACGCTTCATCTTTCTTCCAAACTAGAAGAAGTGCCATACTGGTGGGTTGTTGATTTTTTTGTGCAGATTTGACAAGGAAGAGACAAAAATAGGTAGAAAAAAAGGTGGACTAAAATATGTAAAGTACTAATCTGATTACCTTCTTCTTATTAGGGTTTAGGAGAAGAAGGTAATTAGGTTACCTTCTTTAACAAAAATAAAAATAAAAAAAAAACAAAATAAAAAAAAGTAGAAAAGCTTACAAGCTTAAAAGAAAGAGAAGAAGGTATTAAGAATACCTTCTTCTCTCACCTCAATTATATGTAATTTTTTTAATTTTGTTAAATAATTATATTTAAAATTTATATTATTAAATATAAATTATACCATTTTAAATATCTCATTGGGACGATCGAAACAAGACTAATATTGAATATATATTAATTAAAATTTCAAATACATCACATATAACTAGAACATAATAAAAATTAAAATACATAATATTGATATTAGAAAATACAACACAATTTTCAAAAATATTGTGAAATTCATTTTTTTAAAAAATAATTAATGTTATAAAAAAATTAATTAATGTTAATAAAAATTATTATTTATATCACAAGTTATATTTTATATTAAACTAATTGAGTTTGAACTAAATTATATTAAACTAATTAAATTCGAACTAATAATTGAGAAATCAAATTATTTAGTACAGATATGCATCTGGAAACAACTCTTGTATATTGTTCATTGCCAAGTCGAAGTCTCTTTGCTTTACAGGGTTGTCCCGGCCGGCAGGGGACAGAAGCTTTCTTTCGGAAGAAGGCTTATTTATTTATTTATTTATTTTTAACAATTTTTTTGGTAATTTTATTTATTTATTTTTTACCGCAAATTTATCAATTAAAACTAATACGGAGTAACGATAATTGATCGAAAACAAAAAAAAAAAAAAAAAAAATCGATCCATTTGATATCGGTTATCGATTTCGTCTTTTTTCGATAAGAATGCTCACCACCAATTTAGCTTTCATAACCCATTTAAAATCAATTCATCGAAGAAATTTTGAACGTTCATAATTAGTTTATCAAATTACGAAAAAATTTTGACCGCAAATTTATCAATTAAAACTAATACAGAGTAACCAATAATTAATCGAAAACAAAACAATTTTGACGGCGGGAATATGGTATAATTTATATTCAATATTAGTCTTTTTTCGATCGTCTCAATGAGATATTTAATATGTTATAATTTATATTTAATAATACAAACTTTAAATATAAGTATTTAACAAAATAAAAAATTACATACAAAACAAATAAATGATACATTTGGAATTATAAAAAGAAGCAAGGGCAAAATAGTAAAAAAAAACTTTTAAAAAAAGAATGTGAAAAGTTTGTGGCATTTTTCGGCCAAAGCAAAAAAAGTAGAAGAAGGTAGTCCAATTACCTTCTTTTCAAATAGGGGAAAAAATTTCAATTTTAATCACACGACTATAGGGGCCTTGTTAATTTCAGCACCTAACTTTCAAAAGTGTCAATTTAATACCTTGAGTATATAATTTTTCTCAATTTTGATCATTCCGGCCAAATTTGACCGGAAAAATTTAATCCAACTTTTAGGCATAAATCTGAGGGGCAAAATAGTCTTTTTCTGATCTGCTCCTAATTGACCTAACTGCCTTCTTTGATCCGTTTCAGCTACACGACTCCCTTGGATTGATTTGCAATGGTTAATTTGCAATTGAAGATGCATGCCACACACTGTATCTGCAAAAGAGCATGTGAGAGTCGCATGGTTGATTTGCAATTGAAGATGCATGCCACACACTGTATCTGCAAAAGGGCATGTGAGAGTCGCAGATTCGCTATTTTCTGGAATCGGCAATGCATCTCCTTGTTTATTCTGATCAATCGGGGCAGTCTGGAGGGGTCCGATGGGTTACCACCCATCGACGTGGTCGCCTCGCCGAGGGGGAGACAACCACCGAACTGGATCGCCGGAGGAATGCTCGCCGGCGTCGGGAATTGGAGCTGAAGGTCTGCGAAGAATTGAAGACGATAGTTTTCCCTCCCCGATAGCCAGAGCACTTGCGACTCCCATGGACGAGTGAATTGAATTCTCTCCACCGACTTGGATATTGCCTGCCTGGGTGGTTTCGTGTATTAATTTACTGTTGCGATCAGTGGTTGACTTCCGGTGTTTGCCGGCGTTCATTGGACGTGGGGGTGAACGGTGGCCGGCTTGGCTGGATTGAACCGGATCAAAGAAGGCGGTCCGTCAATTAGGAGCAGATCAAGAAAAGACTATTTTGCCCCTCAGATTTGTGCCTAAAAGTTGGATTAAATTTTTCCGGTCAAATTTGACCGGTAATTTGGCCGGAGTGACCAAAATTGAGAAAAATTACATACTCAAGGTACTAAATTGATACTTTTGAAAGTTAGGTGCTGAAATTAACAAGGCCCCTATAGTCGTGTGACCAAAATTGAAATTTTCTCTCAAATAGGGTTTTGAAAAAAAGGTAATGACATTAGTACTTTACACATTTTTGTCTAGGGTTTTGAATCAACACATTTTTGTCTCATTTATGTCAAATCTACACATTTGTTGCTATGTCTCCATACGGGTCTTCCATAATACTACAGTAACCATTCATTTTCTTCTACCTCCCTCCCGTAATTTTTCATCCCTTTTGTTGTCTAAGAAGAAGAGAGGAGCTTAACATTAGCTATACTAACCCACCATGCATAACACTACCCAAAAAAATTCACATATTTACCTCTAATAATGCATAACTGTACCTTTAGCAGTGCACAAAAGTGTAGGTGCAACATTTTGTAAGTGCACCCTTAAACCCTAAACATTAAACCCCTAAACTCTAACTTGTAAACCCCACAAAATCGACCACGCGATGCACAACCAACACCCTCCAAACAATGCACATCTTAACATTCTATAATGCACCCAACCAAACGTACCAATGCACGGCCCAATGACCTACAATGGAAAACCTCCCGTCACTATCCCCAGCAATGAAAAAAAAAAAAAAAAAAAAGAAGAAAAACCTACAAACGCATAACTTCGCTTTGGTAACGATTGTCAAATTACATAGACAACACCACCACAACAAAACCAACACACTCAAATCTTAAAGACACATATTCATCAACCAACTTAATCAAAACCATACTCCAATGAACAAACAAACAAACAAACAAACAAACAAAAAAGAGAAAAAAAACTGACATGACACAATAACGAAAACTCACAATCAGCGACGACAACTACAAACGGAAAATGACGGAAAAAGAATAGAAGGCAATACCTAAATCACCGGTTATAACCTCCTAATACATGTTGCATAATGCCTAACAATTACCATACAAAATTAACAAAATACCCTCGCCCCTAAATAATAAAAACACTAATATTAAATCTCAGCCATCGTATCTTGCTCACGGAAAGCCCATATAAGACAACATATATAGCTACAACTACTTATGGCTATTTTTTGTTTTATAAGTGACGCCAAACAAAATCTACACGGTGTTTATATATAAATGCACTTTTAGTGTTTTATAAATTAAATTTGTAAATAAAATTTTAATAAATTTATTACAAAATAAAATATTTTTTATGAGAATAAATAATAATTTTATTGTAATTATTATTATTATATTATAGTATAAATATATTAATTATTTTTAGTTAGAATTTGAATATGGAGGTTTGAATTAATTGAATAATGTATAAATTTATCTCAACTAGTGTAATATGCTGGGCTAAAGATAACCTCTTTTCTAGCACCTTCTGGAATTATTTTCAAACTGAACCGGGTCGAAGCTTTTTGTCCAACCCAGAACCTGCTAGAAACTTATTTCTTTTCCTCCAGAGACTTCTGCTTTCTTCCTACATAAACGCCAATCTCGTCGGCGTTTCTCGATCACATCAGCAAACATTCTAATTTCAATTCGAGAAAATCCACAAAACACTGTCGAAGAAATGGATTTGAGGTTGATGGGTTTCGATCACCCGCTCTTCCACCACATCATGGACTTCGCCGGCGACGACAAGTCATCCAACAGCAGCGGGCCTTCGCAGACGTTTATGCTGGACGCCAAGGCCATGGCAGCGACCCCGGCGGACGTGAAGGAGTACCCGAACTCGTACGTGTTCATCATAGACATGCCGGGGCTGAAGTCCGGCGACATCAAGGTGCAGATCGACGGCGACAACGTGTTGAGTATTAGCGGGGAGCGGAAGCGTGAGGCGGAGGAGAAGGAGGGGGCGAAGTATGTGAGGATGGAGAGGAGGGTGGGGAAGTTAATGAGGAAGTTTGTGCTGCCGGAAAATGCGAATACGGAGAAGATCACGGCGGTTTGCCAGGATGGGGTGTTGACGGTGACGGTGGAGAAGCTGCCGCCGCCGGAGCCGAAGAAGCCAAGGACCATTGAGGTCAAAATTGCTTGAGATGAACATGAGTGCTCTGTTTTTCAATAATGATTTTGTAGGGATGGGAGCTTTACTTTTGTTTTGTGTGAGGTAATATAATGCAGAATGTATGTTGAAGGAGTTTCTGTATAACAATTTGTTATAAATCTACATTTTCTTTCTTGGATTTTGAATACCTTTGGCAACTGTTTTAAAATGTAATGACAACATCTACAAATTATATGAGATTGATTTCTAAAGTCCAAAAACCTATACATGATATACAATTTGCTGTTTTTAGCTCCTACCATGAGCAATCCTAAAATTGATTTTCTTTTATAAGAGAGAATTCAAATTCTAGACATCTCTTAAAGAGAAGAAAGTGCACCGTCAAGTACGCCAATGAACTTGTTAGTAAATAGATATTTGAGAAAAAATATACTTTTTGAGGTTGACCTTGTTGAGAATAGTAGAAAAAAAAAATAGACTATAATTTAAAGTGAGACACACTATAATTTAAAGTGAGATAATTTATTTCAAAATTATCATTTTTCACCTTAAAAATCATGAAATTAAAATAGTAAAGGATGACATGAGATTATAATTTCATTAAAATAAGGGAGTAAATCATGAAATTAAAATACTAAAGGATGACATGAGATTATAATTTCATTAAAATAAGGGAGTTAGGATAAAAGTTTATATTTTGAAAGCTTATTATTTTTTATGTATTGTGTTTATTTTTAATTTATTACTTAAAATGAATTATATATTAAAAATTAACTTAAAATACACAAGTGGTTTCAAAAAAAAAAAAAAAAAAAAAAAAAAAAACTTTAAATACACTAGTATATATGAAAGGGTTTATATGTGGGGATGACTTCTCGTATGGTTGTGCAGTTGACGCACTTTAAATACAAAAATCACGTATCTTAAGCACACAAACAAATCAAATTAAGAACACAAATCACACGCACCTAAAATTTTAGGACGACGCACCTTAAGTACACAAATCACGCACCTTAAGCACACAAATCACGTACTTAAGGTTTTAAAATGGCGCACCTTAAGTTTCAATAACTGATGCACCTTAAGCATACAAATCACGCACTTTAAGAAAAAAAATCACGCACCTTAAGCTTTAGGTTGATGCACCTTAAGTTCCAACACTAACGCACTTTAAGCACACAAATTACGCACGTTAAGAACGAAAATCACGCACCTTAAGAAGGAAAACCATACACCTTAGCAACCTCACAACCGCACCTAAAAAGGCTAACTGCACAGAAACCCATATATATCAATGATCTACATAAATTGTAGACGATGGTCTATAGTATACTTTGCAGGTAGCCAGTGATCCTATGTAAAATGATGATATACAATGGTCATGTTTGGTAATTGACATATCGGTCAAAATTTTGGTGAATTCGTCATTTTGACGTTTGACCGACAAAATGTAAAGTAAAAAAAAAATATTAAAAAAAACATTTGATAACTCAATGATTTAGAGTAGTGGTTTGCTCCAAACTGCTAAAATCCTAGCTAAAAAGCAGCACTTTAGGTTGACGTTTTAGGCCAAAACACCCTACATTTTATAAAAAACAAAAACAAAAATTAAACAATGTTATTAAGAAGCCCTAGGCTCTTTAATAAAGAAGCCTCATGCTTCGCTTCTCTTGCACATCCAATATGGGATGGACAAGAGGAAAAAACTGAAGGTGAGTTGAGCCTCCTTTTATAAGGGAGCTCAACGCCTCTATTTTTTTTTTTTTTTTTTTTTTGTTTTTCTGAATCCCACATTTTTTTGTTATTATTATTATTATACTTTTTTAGTCATCATACATGTTAACCGCTAATCTAAACATATAATTTTATCAAATATTTTTTTTACAAATCGTAGATCAAACCCAATATAACCGCTAATACAATCCGCTAACCTTGCTAAACAAGCTTAATATTTTAGCCATTTATAGGCCCATCTCAATCTTATATTGCAAATTATGCCCTGAAAACGTGTTCACAATGAATGGTGAACACGGGTGCAAACGGCGTCGTTTTTACGGGAAAAGAAAAAAAAATAGTTAATGTGCTGTTAACGGCATTTTGCATTTTATGTTCAGATTATGAATTTACATTTATTAAATTATGAATTTTCTGTTAAGAGATTATGAATTTACAGTGTGTAATTATGAATTTTCTGTAAATTCATAATCTCATAACAGAAAATTCATAATCTCATAACAGAGATTATGAACTTTCTGTTATGAGATTATGAATTTATATTTATTAAATTATGAATTTTTTGTTATGAGATTATGAATTTACAGTTATGTAATTAAGAATTTTTTGTAAATTCATAATCTCATAACAGAAAATTCATAATCTCATAACAGAAAATTCATAATCTCATAACAGAAAATTCATAATTTCATAACAGAAAATTCATAATCTCATAAAAGAATATTCATAATTTCATAACTGCACATTCATAAATATATGCCTGCACATTCATAATTTATGAGTGCTGAAGAAGCTTGCGCGAAGAGGAAATGAAACCGCGAAATGTGAAAATGTAGAAGAAAAATCGCGCTGTTAATTAAGAGAGAGAGAGAGAGAGAAAAAAAAAAGATAACAGTGTCGTTACCGTTGGGACCGTGTTCACCATGGATGGTGAACACGGTTCCATCAATCATTATTGTGTAGACCATGGTCCACACAAGTTGTGTGAATCATATTTTGTTTATTGTAAAATAATGTACATTCAGTACAAAAATAATGTACATTGTATTTAGGGGATGTACATTATTTTTGTTTTGAGTGTACATTATATTGTATAATGTACATTCAATACAAAAATAATGTACATTTAGTATATTAAAAATGTATTTTTTATTATGGTGTACATAACATTGTGTGAACCATGGTCCACACAATAATTTATTCGGTTCCATGGCATAACGATTGAATCTGCATACCATTATTTATATTACATTGTTAGGCATAATACATTGTTCAAAAACCCAGCCCAACAAGCTATGCGCTAAGTTCTACAACACGTTTAGTTCATGGAATGAATTTTGAGGTAATAGAAATGCTATTTCATAAGGAATGGAATAGGCAATGAATAGAATAGGAATTGTATTCTATTGTTTGGTTCGCAGAAATAATATATTTTAGGAATTATATTACAGTGTTTGGTTGATTTAAGGAATAGAAATGAAATATATTTTAAAAGACATAAATACCCTTATAAAAATATGTGATGGTGGTGGTGGTGGCAGTGGTAGTGGCGTTGGCGGCGGCGGTGGTGCTGGCGGCGGCGGTTGTGGCGGTGGTGGGCGGTGGCGGTGGTACTGCTCGAGTGGTGGTGGCGGCGGTGGCGGCTACGGCGTCGATGGGGCGATGGTAGTGAAATAGGAAATAAATTTAATTGGGGGGTAAAATAGGAAATAGAAACTTTAGGCTATTCCTGAGAACTCAGGAATAGCCTAATACCAGGGGGCCCTTGGGAATCTCTATTCCCCTTGCAAGGGGAATATGTCATTCCAGGGAACAATGTTCCTGGGAATACAAGTGGTTACCAAATGGAGGAATATGCCTATTACTGGGAATACTATGCCATTCCAGGTAGGGGTGTTCAATCGGTTAATCGTTCGGTTAACCGAACTATTTTAACCGAACCGAATTAATCGATTTTTTTTTACCGTTAACCAAACTGAAGTTTGCTCTACCGAATTCACCGAATCGAAATTTTTTTCGATTAATCAGTCGGTTAACCGATTAACCGAACTTCTTAACGCTAAAATTTAAAATTCTAAAAATAACACCTAAAATAATAAATTCAATTAAAATAAAATACATATTATAATAAATTCATAACAAAAACATGAATTATAAACTCCAAACATCCATAAATTCAAATTAGTATTTATATTTTTATTATTATACTTATATATATATATATATATATATATATATATATATATATATATATATATTAAAAATTTCGGTTAATCGTTTGGTTAATTCGGTTAACCGACCTTCGAACCGAATTAACCGTTAACCAAAATTTTAAAATTGTTTTAACCATTAATTGAACCGAAAAATTTCGATTAAAAAACGATTAATCAAACTTTGTTGGTTCGGTCGGTTAACCGAAATTTGTACACCCCTAATTCCATGCCTATTCCATGAACTAAACAACCCAACTTCTAGTGTTATAAATAAGGTCTTGGTTTCCCTTCAGCATCATTAAGTCATTATCACATTAGGTCTTCATCGCCGTTCCATTCCTCGAAGCCACCCTAGCTCTTTCTGAAATCGAATTACTACGGATTGTACATCGTTCCACGCTTTGAATCACTCTATGTTTTGATTAGTTTCTTATGCGGTTTTCAGCTTTTTGTTGTGCTTTTTTGATGAATCGATATCTCATTTGATGAGAAAAAAAACTGCAACAATATGAGTCTAAGATTTCATGATTCGTTGTATTTAAGTCTCTGATGATTTTGATTTCATCAAGGTCTTTTATTTCTTATTTTTCGTTTTGATTCTGCTTTTGATTTGAGCTCCGGAGACATGATGATTTACTGATTGGTCCATGTTTCTGATTAACATGACTGATAAACCAGTGTTTTATTCTGATCTCCTCTTAATTACTTCAAAGTATTACCTTTTTTTTTTGGTGCTTTTAATTGAAGTTTGGAATTTGAGTTCGATGTTTATTTGCCTTTGAGGCAGTATAAGGCTATAAGCTATTCCGATAATTAGAATGAGCGATTAAACTTTTTGGAATGAGAGCCGCTACAATCCGCCTTTGATTGGTCCGTGTTTCTGATTAATTATTTTTAGTTAGAATTTGAATATCGAAGTTTGAATTAATTGGATGATGTATCAATTTATACTAGTGTAATATGCTGGGCTAAAGATAACCTCTTTTCTAGCACCTTCTGGAATTATTTTCAAACTGAACCGGGTCGAAGCTTTTTGTTCAACCCAGAACCTGCTAGAAACTTATTTTCTTTCCTCCAGAGACTTCTGCTTCTTCCTACATAAACGCCAATCTCGTCAGCGTTTCTCGATCACATCAGCAAACATTCTATTTTCGATTAGCGAAAACCCACAAAAGACTGTCGAAGAAATGGATTTGAGGTTGATGGGTTTCGATCACCCGCTCTTCCACCACATCATGGACTTCGCCGGCGACGACAAGTCATCCAACAGCAGCGGGCCTTCGCAGACGTTTATGCTGGACGCCAAGGCCATGGCAGCGACCCCGGCGGACGTGAAGGAGTACCCGAACTCGTACGTGTTCATCATAGACATGCCGGGGCTGAAGTCCGGCGACATCAAGGTGCAGATCGACGGCGACAACGTGTTGAGTATTAGCGGGGAGCGGAAGCGTGAGGCGGAGGAGAAGGAGGGGGCGAAGTATGTGAGGATGGAGAGGAGGGTGGGGAAGTTAATGAGGAAGTTTGTGCTGCCGGAAAATGCGAATACGGAGAAGATCACGGCGGTTTGCCAGGATGGGGTGTTGACGGTGACGGTGGAGAAGCTGCCGCCGCCGGAGCCGAAGAAGCCAAGGACCATTGAGGTCAAAATTGCTTGAGATGAACATGAGTGCTCTGTTTTTCTTGCGTGATTAATAATCATTTTGTAGGGATGGGAGCATTACTTTTTGTTTTGTGTGAGGTAATATGATGCAGAATTTATGTTGAAGGAGTTTCTGAATAACAATTTGTTGTTATAAAACTACATTTTCTTTCTTGGATTTTGAATACCTGTCGCTACTGTTTTAATATGTAACTGGTAATTCATTCGTCATGCAGGGTGAAAAATTATGTTATTATAAATATAAAAAAAAATAAAAATATTTTAAATTGTTTAATATAATAATATTTTTAAGTTTTCATTAGTCAAGTATTTATTATTTTTATAGAATATAAAATTAAAATTAAAATTTTATATGGTTAATATAATATCTTATAATCTCTAATTATCTATATATTTAAATAAATTATAGATAAAATTTATATGATTTATTTTTAATTGTACTTAATCTATATTATAATTTTCACAATACGAATAATAACTAAGATAATTAAATTTAAAAAAACAAATTTTAAATTTTGTATGAGTAAATTTAAACTTTAATTGAACATATTTTTTATATGATTATATAATATATTCTTTATGCACATGTCGTTCCATAAATCCAAATGTCATTCTATAAGTCTAAGCTCACTTTTTTGGGAGATAATTCAAATGTATTTTTTTTTCTTTTAAAAGTCCTAAGTTTAGAAATCCAGCAAAATATTAAAAGACCATATGATATATACATTTATATATTTATGGCTCAAATGATTTTTTTTTTTATTCTGAAGTTCAATAATTTACCCACGGTCCCATTTGCTTTCTTCATCTTCTGTCATTTCTTTGAAACACTTGAGAGGGAGAAAAATTATATGTAGAGGCTTGCGTTAATTGCACTGTTTCAGATATCGAATAAGCTTTCATAAAAAATTTAATTAATATTGTAATCTCAAGAGGCACCATAAATAACAAAACAATATCAAATAGACCTTCATTATAAAGTCAGAGATTTTAATTAATATTGGATTATTTCATATTTTCTATTAATCGGGAATTGGAATCCTTAATCATAATATCATAACATTGATTAATTCAATAAATGTAATCCTAGAGAAAAATAACTATTTTACTTTTCAAATGTTGTTTTTTTTTTTAATAGTAAAGGATGTTGTGGCTATTTTATATTAATAAAGATAGAGACAATAATTATAACAATAATTGCTCACCAAAATAATAATTATAACATTAATTACTTCTCAAACCATATAGCTTTATTATAGTGATTGATTTGTAATAATTACCTTATTAATTAGCACTTGTATGAGACCATTTCACACGTTTTAATTTGTGAGACGGGTCGAATATTTGATTAATGGTTGGAACTTTAGTACATAGTATTTAATATTACAAATTTTTAAGGACTTAGTAAACAACAATAGTACTCTAGAAATCTCGAAGGTCTAAAAATTTTGATCCGCGATGACTCTGAAAATTGTAATTCAATTACTATTGTATTTTACTAAATTCTTAAAAATTTGTAATATTATATACTATGTACTAAATTTTTAAGATTGACTCATTACTCAATTGAAGTTTATTTGTGAGTTTTTGGATGGATTGGATGAGGCAAGAGAGATGAAAATGAATTAAGGTTAATTTGAATTTTTATACACCATGTAATAAGTAAATAAATAAATCTTAACTATTATATAACCATGTGGTTTCTTAATTATAATATAACCATATGGTTTGGTGAGCAACTATTATAATTACTAACCAAACCATATAGCTATATTATAGTTAAGATTAATATACTTCAGCTTTATACTTCAAAAAAAAAATATGAATAAATTTCAAACATATACACTCACTATACATTAAGACAGGAAAGATATGTACCTGAAATAAAGTAAATATAATATGTGTTTGTGTCTTGTGCTATACATTTTTGTATCTTGTTTTATGCGCTTTTGTGTCTTATGTTATTCAATTTTGTACCTTAAGAATATTGATTATGTACTTGAACTAAAGTAAATATAAAATATGTGTATGTGTGTAATGCGTTTCTATGTCTCATGTTATGCAATTCTGTACCTTAAGCGTATGGATTCTGTACGTGAAATAGATTAGTAGTTGCGTAGCACATAACATATTGTGTCTTATTTTACAAATTTATGTCTTGTATTATGAAGTTATGTGCCTATAGGACATATATTATCTACATAAATCAGATTCGAGAATAAGTAAATATATAACATGTGTATGTGTCTTGTGTTGTGAGTTTTTGTGTCTCGTGTTATAAAATTATGTATCTTAAGAGTATTGATTATGTACTTAGAATAAATTAAAATTTGTGTTGAAACATGAGAAACGAAAAACTACATAATCTATCTATTAAACTTAAATATCGAAACGATGCTATTTTAATCCAAGGTTCACAAATCACGATATAAATTGCCCATCGAGTGATTTCCGTAAATTATGCTGTGGACTCGTGTCCACAATGCATTGTACACATGAGTCTAAAACGAAATCATTTTAAGGGAAAACGCGGCCTTCCAGTTAAAAAATAATAATTTAATTTTATCTCGCCGTTAACTGCGTTATTCGTTTGTGGCATTATGAATGTACAGTTATGGAATTATGAATGTACAGTTATGCAATTATGAATGTATAGTTATGAAATTATGAATGTACAGTTATGCAATTATGAATGTATAGTTATGGAATTATGAATGTAAGTTATGAAATTATGAACACAGAGCTCTGACATTATGAACATATAGTGATAAAATTATGAACATAGAGCTCTAAAATTGTGAACATAGAGTTTCGAAAATTATGAATTTACAGTTATTGAATTATGAATGTACAGTTACGGAATTATGAATGTACAGTTATGCAATTATGAATGTACAATTATGCAATTAGGAACACAGAGCTCTGACGTTATGAACTTACAATTATGAAGATATAGTGATAAAATTATGAACATATACTCCTATAACAAAGTGGTTTGAAATTAAAAAAAAAAAAAAGGAAAAGAATGGTGCCACTAACGGCGGCAATTTATATCCTACACCACGGCGCGCGTTGCACTGTGCGCCCAGATGCAAAACGACGTCGTTTTAAATTTTTTTATTTTTTTTAAAATTTCCCGCCCCAGTGAATGGCAATAATTTTTCTTTAAAAAAAAAACCCGTTGTTCAAAAATGTACATAATGTTATACTAGAATACACATAATTGTATATATGAATGTACATAATTATATAACAAAATATACATATTCTTTTTAAAAGATAATACACATAATCTAACATAATACATAATAAACATAAACTTTTAACATAATACACATCAACTCTTAACATAATACACACAAATTTTCTGATTCGGATGTACATAATTGTATAAAAAGAATGTATATAATTGTATAAAAAATGTACATAACTGTATGAACAAATACACATAATTGTGTGAACAAATACACATAATCACAGCAACTTCCTACCGTGCCTCCCAAAACGACATCGTTTTGGGAAGCGCGCGACACACAGTGCTACACGCGCCATGGTGTAGGGTATAACAATTAACTAACGGCACCATTACCGTGTCATGCTTTCTTTAAAATGATGATATACAATATATTAGCCATTTATAGGCCCAGCTCAATCTGATATTTAGGTCTAATACATGGTTAAAAAACCCAGCCCAACAAGCTAAGCGCTAACGTATAGTGTTATAAATAGTGTCTTGATTTTCCTTCAGCGTCATTAAGTCATTATCACATTAGGTCTTCATCGCCGCTCCATCTTCCTCCATTCCTCGATGTCCAGCGACCCTAGCTCTTTCTGAAATCGAATTACTACGGATTCTGCATCGTTCCACGCTTTGAATCACTCTACGTTTTGATTAGTTTCTTATGCGGTTTTCAGCTTTTTGTTGTGCTTTTTTGATGAATCGATATCTCATTTGATGAGAAAAAAACTGCAACAATATGAGTCTAAGATTCCATGATTCGTTGTATTTAAGTCTCTGATGATTTTGATTTCATCAAGGTCTTTTATTTTTTATTTTTGGTTTTTGATTCCATGATTCTGCCTTTGATTTGGAGTTTTGATGGGATTTGAGCTCCGGAGATATGATGAATATACTGATTGGTCCGTGTTTCTGATTACCATGACTGATAAACCAGTGTTTCATTCTGATCTCCTCCTAATTACTTCAAAGTATTACATTTTGTTATTTTTAGTTAATTTTTTTGTGCTTGTAATTGAAAGCTATTTCGATAATTGGAACGAGCAATTAAAAGTTCTCATGGGATTTGAGCTCCGGAGACATGATGAATATACTGATTGGTCCGTGTGTCTGATTACCATGACTGATAAACCAGTGTTTCATTCTGATCTCCTCCTAATTACTTCAAAGTATTACATTTTGTTATTTTTAGTTAATTTTTTTGTTCTTGTAATTGAAATTTAGAATTTTAGTTCAATGTTTATTTGCCTTTGAGGCAGTATAAGGCTATAATCTGTTCCGATAATTAGAATGAGCGATTAAACATTTTGATATTAGAGCCGCTACAATCAGCCTCTGATTTGGAGTTCTGGTGGGATTTGAGCTCCGGAGACATGATGAATATACTGATTGGTCCGTGTTTCTGATTACCATGACTGATAAATCAGTTTTTTATTCTGATCTCCTCCTAATTACTTCAAAGTATTAAATTTTGTTATTTTTAGTTATTTTTGTGTGCTTTTAATTGAAATTTAGAATTTGAGTTCGTTGTTTATTTGCCTTTGAGGTAAGGCTATAAGCTATTCCGATAATTAGAATGAGCGGAACTTTTTGAAATGAGAGCTTTCATTGTCAATTCTTTCTGTGTTTTGTTTAATTTGTACTAAAATTATTATTATTATTATTATTATTATTATTATTATTATTATTTTTGTATATTATATTTTACTGCAAATGTTTCAATCTTCTGCTGTGATGAATCATGAATACAATTCACATGTCAGACTTCAGAGACTAGTCTATGAGAAGAAACTTTCATGTTTACTGAGCAGAACCTAATGCTATTTTGGAAAACTTTTGATGAAGATTTTAATTATTCAGTTTGATACTTTGGGTCATTATCATATTGTTTAATTGATTTATCATTAATTTAATAATTAATGAATGTGGATTGTTTTGAAAAGCATTAATTTAATTAAAATAATTGTAAATTGGCCTGAGCTTAAGTATTTTGTGGTTATTTCCCTATGAACAACTTTTTCAATTTTAATGTAGTGGACTGAATAATATGGATTTTAAGGATTGTTGTAAAATTCTGAGGTTTCATTTAAGCTCTGTTTTTCTAATATTCAGGAAACAAGATATGTAAAATGGTAAAATATTTTTTTGTTTTTTTGTTTTTTTGTTTTTTTTGTTTTTTTTTGTTTTTTTATATTTGCATATTTGATTCGTTGTAAGGGACCGGACCCTCCATAAAATTAGATATTGACGAAAAATATATATGAAAGAATATATTAGATTATAATAGATCTGAGGACTTAAAAAAAAAAAACCGTGAAGGTATTAAATCAAACGCTTTGAAACCTTAGAGAAGGATATTTGTGGTCTACCAAAGGGGGGTGATGGGAGAATTGGCAGAGGTTAAAGCTAATCAAGAGATGGAGAGATTCAACTTCTGAGTATGGATGTTTAGGAGATGATTGGCAAATTGCTTTTGAAGCTATGAAGAGTAGTGGAATTGAAAAGGCATTTAAATTGTTGTGTACACTAAATATTATGAGCTTCAAAAGGTTTCAGGGTTTTCTGGTGTTGTTAGGAATTATCTTTGTACAGATTTTGGCTGCTCTCTGACTTAATCTTGTTAGTATTTATGAAATTTTGGCCCCAACTCTATAAATAGAGTCACTCTTGAAGTGTTAAAAAGGAGTTGGATAAACAAGAGAAAATTACTATGCAAACATTCCCAAGTACAATAGCCAGATATAAGCTCCCATAATGCTTCAAAGAATTTTCCAGATTTTGTCCAAGTAGTCTTCAAGACTAACACTCCTTGTTCTAAAGATCGACTACAAAATCTTCTCTCAAGACAACCCGGTGGACGACCCTTGACCACAAAAATAGGTAGGTGAAGAATGTGAAGCTTGTTGTTGAACTTTGTTTGAATGATTGCCATTACCACAAAGATAGCTAGTGAAGAATGTGAAGCTTCGTGTTGAAATTCGTTTGAATGATTGCCATTACCATAAAGATAGCTAGTGAAGAATGTGAAGCTTGGTGTTGAAATTCGTTTGAATGATTGCCATTACCACAAAGATAGCTAGTGAAGAATGTGAAGCTTGGTGTTGAAATTCGTTTGAATGATTGCCATTACCACAAAGATAGCTAGTGAAGAATGTGAAGCTTGGTGTTGAAATTCGTTTGAATGATTGCCATTACCACAAAGATAGCTAGTGAAGAATGTGAAGCTTGGTGTTGAAATTCGTTTGAATGATTGCCATTACCACAAAGATAGCTAGTGAAGAATGTGAAGCTTGATGTTGAAATTCGTTTCAATGATGATTGCCATTAGAGAGGTTTAGTAAGTAACCTAGTTAGCTTGGTTTGCAACTAGTGTCAAAGGCTAACTTTAACTTGTATTTGATTGATACTAGTGCATCCTCCTTATGTTAGGGAGAAGAGTGGAACAAATAATTCTCAAAGCACTATAAATACTAGTTTTTTATTTTTGCGATGCACGAAAAAAATTATGTTATAATAAATTTAAATAAAAAATTAAAAGCATTCAAAAAAAAATAAAAAAATTTTAAAAAAAAATACTGTAAAAATATGTTAAAATGTATAAGATAGTTACAATTTCATATATTTAGTCAAGTATCTATTTTCTTAGCATACAAAATTAAAATTGAACTTTTGTATATGGTTTTTTTTTTTTTTTAAAGGAACTTTTGTATAGTAATATATTCTTTAATCACATACACATTTAGATAAATTTACCTGACTCAATTGCTTTATCCCTTATTCTCTTTATATTCTCTTTATTCTTTTTACTAGTATTTTTCTATGCGTGATGCGCAAAAAATAGGTGCCAATACTAGAATGTTATATTAAAATTTTGAATTTATTTTGATTTGAGATATTTAAATTATTGTAAATAATAATATAATAATAATAATAATAATAATAATAATAATAATAATAATAATGTAAAACAATTTTATAAATTTGATATTTTTATTTTAGGAATAACTAACATATAACTCTAATATATAATGTGTATATATCATTATTATTGAAGAAGATAAGAAAATATATGGTAGGAGTATGTTTGTCCAAAATATTGCAGAGTACAATTTAACGGAAAAAATAGACATAAATAAATGGTATAATTTTCATTCACACTTTTTAGATTTTTATTGTTGATCTCAAACGCGCACTACTCACAATTTATTCAACTCACAAAAACACTAGCTACAAACTTAAACAAGGCATGCTAAAGCCTTCTCCTGTGATCTAAACTCGAAATTTTACTTTTGGAAAAGTTTAAAAAAGTTTATTCAACCCCCTCTATACTTTTTTTTTTTTTTTTTTTTTTTTTTTATTGGACCAACACAACAAAAAATACTCAGGGATGACAATTTGCCCCATCCTCAATCCTCACCCTGACAGGGACGAAGATGGGAAAAATTTTTGGAGAACGAGGACGGAGACAGAGAATGTGTGTGATTTCCCGTTAGGGATGGGGATACTCGGCCCTCCTCGTCTCCAAATAATAATTATTAAAACTAGGACTTAGATTTTAATTTTTTTATTATTAAAAATCACAATTATTTAACATTTTGATTAGGAATTGACGGGATAGTTATGCTGTGCATCCGTATGCACCATGCATACGGATGCCAAAACGACGTCGTTTTATTTAAAAACACGCGTCTCCCCTTTAAAAAAAATTCAGGTTCGATTCCCAGCAACAACATTATATTGTTCATTCATTCTGGAATTTTAGTTCATAGATTATGGAATTATAGTTCATTGATTATGGAATTATAGTTCATCGATTATGGAATTGTAGTTCATCGATTATGAAATTTTAGTTTATAGATTATGGAATTTTAGTTCATTCATTCTGGAATTTTTAGTTCATAGATTAGATTATGGAATTATAGTTCATCGATTATGGAATTTTAGTTCATATGTTGTTGTTGGGAATCGAACCTGATTTTTTTTCTTTTTAAGGGGAGGCGCGTTTTATTAAAACGACGTCGTTTTTGCATCCGTATGCACCATGCATGGTGCATACGGATGCACAACATAATTTGCCGAATTGACGGAGAATGGAAAATTCCCGTGTCCGTGTCTCATTTTTCGCGGGGATAGGAATGAAGAATATTTCTAATTCCCTGTCGTCGCGGTGCGACGGGACAGAGAATATACTCCCCGCCTCTGTCTCGCCCCGTTGTCATCCATAAAACTACTATTCCATTTCCAACCTATTCTATGATCACCAAACGTAAAATAGCAGTAGTTGATTTCAAGATGGCCATATATGATTAGCCAAGTTCATGACGCGTACGTACAAACTTGGCAAACAAACCATTGAATTGGCTATTCTTAACATTTCATTTACCCATAAAGAAAGGATTGAAATCTGGACCAGATCAGAACATATATGTTTTGGTTCATTGACAAAGCTAGTCAATGGACTTGACCACAGTCCAGTTCTATGTTTGACCGATGCGTCCAAACCAAAAAGACAAACCATCTAACAAGCGGTATACTATAAGTTTTTGATGTACGCAGAATATATAAATTTTCGATAAATATTTAGTTTAAATATAAAAAAAAAATTTGATATTAATTATTTAATATAAAGTCAATTATGAACATTGGATTTGAATAAGATAATCATATATTCAAAACGTACCTAATTAAAGATAAGACTCAGCACGTTTATATAATAATTTGCACAATCAAGGGAATGACTTGTGGTGATCTTGACAAATGGATCGATGTCGCAAAGGACTGTTAGCACAATAGAGAAAGGAATGCCCTAAGGCGATCAATCATATATCCAAAAAAGGAATTAAAAATAAAGTAGTTAGCACTGGCTTATTTCAATGATTCACTAAACTGTATTTAGGAAAAGAGACAAATATTAGAACTTCGGCGATGATAGTGTGAGGAATGGGGATTATGCCTAATGTGAACAGATCACCGTGATTTACATCGTCTTAAATGCTCTATCGAGCCATTGGATTTGGAGATTTAACCTTTTGAGAGAGAAGAAAAAAAAAATAAAGTAATGTTATACACTTTTTTTTTTTTTTTTTTTTTATATTTATTTTCAAATTTTCTCCTCTTAACGTGACACTATGATTGGATAACTACATTTATTTTCAACTAGTAGTGGTGGTAACTATAGGAGCAATTCATGAGGGAAAAAATATTTTCCAAAAAAAAAAATTACATTATTATTTTATTTTTTTGGGTGTACTAAATGTTTCTACCGTAAAAACACAACGACTAATCCTCTTTGTTGGATTGTAGGCATCGTTAATGGGTGAAATAACTGGCATGGAGATTATTCTAAAATGAAAATTGAAATATTTGAGTTAATACTATCTGAGGTCTTCCGAGTATAGTGGTTTTGCCACGTTTAGTCCTAAACTTTCAAATTGATCATCTGTGGTCCTTCGACTTTCAAATTTAACCATTCGTGGTCCAAGTTAACCACACGTGGTCCTTCAACTATTAAATTTTAACCAACCATGGTCCTTTCAAGAGGACCGCGACTGGTTATATTTCGAAACTTGAAGGACCATGGGTGGTGAACTTGGACCACGAATGGTTAAATTTGAAAGTCGAATGACCACAAATAGTCAATTTGAAAGCTTAGGACTAAACGTGGCAAAACCACTATACTCGGAGGACCTTAGATGGTATTAACTCAAGAAACTTATTATGCAAGTTAAGACAAGAATCCAAATTCTATTTGATTGTTTCGCTTGTTGAAAGGATAAACTTAAGGAATTATATCATATTATTGACTTAGTTTAAAGAATAGAAAAGTATGGTAACAGATAAAATAATTTTAAACAATACCAAATGCTATATATCT